CTGAAGTCAAAGATTGGAGTACGGCAGTTGCGCTCCAAGAGCTGGGCTGGGGTGGAGGAGCTGGTGGAGCCCATGGGGCTGCCCACCTCCCAATATACCTTGCACTTGCCCATGCGCAGAGCCCACAGTGATAGGCCCTGCAGCTCCAGTTGAAGGCCTGGAGACACGTGCTGTAGAAGTGTCTCTGTGTAATGCAGCTGCTTCTGATCAGGGAGCTCAGCAGGGCTGGGAAAAATCACTGGCTGGGGCTCTGAGTTTCTTACTGCTGAGCTCATGGGGCTGTACAGGAACACGCAGCTAGGGTGTCCCACCATTGCCTGTAGCACTGTGCGGCCCTTGTACATGATGGTCACATCCAGGTATCCTAGATTGGGCTCTGTGCAGACCAAGCTATGAGTGGTGGTCCCACACCCTAGGACCCATTCACCTCCCACTGAGGTAGACCTGAGGGGTGGGTGAGTGGTGCAGTGTTCTGCCAGGGGCAGTAGGTGTATACTGGGGAAGACCTTTGCCAGCACCACAGATCTATCCCACATCAGCAGTTCCCCAGGTTCTCACCAGTTATCAGAGCTGGGTGTTGACGCCTCGGGCTCGGGACAGCTTCCACCTGCCACGCTGCATGAGGACCCTCAGAAGCAGGTTCTTGCTCCTGGCCTGAGGACAAGTTGAAGCTGTCTGTTCATCTTGCCCTTCGAGGTGTGCTAGTTTCCTCGCTCCTGTCTTGCTAGCATCCTTATCTTTCCTCCTCCCAAGGGCTCTCATACAGCCTGGAGTAGGTAGGGTTCTCTAGTTCAGCCTCAGATCAGTAACCGTTCTTCTGCCACTTACCAGGGTCCTGTAATGGGACTGAGTCACATCCCAGTATGTGGTCCTTCAGGAGGCTATACTGCAGAACCTGAAGCAAGAGGTCCCCAGTATCACCAGAAAGCCGAGGGCTTGGGGTTTGGAGCCCAGCATTTCCTCTTGCTGACAATGGTTCTAGGGACACGTCCTTCAAGAAAAAGTGTAGCAGTAGGCAGCTTCCCACCCCCCCCCACACACACACACCTAGAAGAAGCGAACTAGACTGTACCTGTGTAGGTAAGGCATTGCTGAAGGTCACTTCCCTATTTTCCATGGCTGGGCCTTCTGAAGGAGAGAGGGGAAAATTTGGATCTGAGACTGACCTGGTTATGAAAAGCTCTACCTGTCCGTACTCTTTGTCCCCAAACCACCAGGCATCATACTCAGCCCAAGGCTCTGATTCAGGAGGAAATGTGCCCCACCCTCACCCCATACACCTTAGGAGAGCAACTGGGGAATACTACCAGCCTTTCCCTAACCAGTTTTTAAAACCTCAAATCCAGTCAGGAAGCCACCAGGACAGCAGTCCATGTACCTCCCTTACCCATCCCTATTTATGACATTCCTCACCAGAACATCCAAGCTCCTGGCTAAGTTTATACACCTTGTGGGGGTCAGCAGGGTCCCCTGAATTGTCTTGATGCAAGATAAAGCGCCCAGTACTATGGAGTGCACAGCGGAAGTTGGTTTTCCAGCCTGCTCTCTCGGCAGCCTCAGCCTCTGGGGTTGGCAGGTTACTTCCACTAGGTGGCCACCTCCCTCTGGCTACAGCCCAAGCCTGAAGGAGAGGACATTGAACATGGGTTGAGGATGGATTCTCTGGGAGTTCCCACAGATTTATACAGAGGGCAGGACTGGGTACCACCTTAAAGATACGTGCATCAGCTTCATCCAGATCCCTTCGACCGAAATGCTTCCAGGGCACACGGAAGAGTGTGTGAGCCTCGTCCAGCCACCGAAGGCCCTCATACTGGCCGCTACTGATCTCACCCAGTAGCCACTCTCCGAAGAGCATGCGCTGGGGCCCCCTGCAAGCAGGGTAGCAAGGCTATGATCAAGGCCAAAGGCGAGGAATACAGGACCCAACATAACCTGGGTGGGCATGTTCTCACCTCTCTGTGGCCATTGCTCCTTCTCTACAAGGGCTGCTTGGGAGAATCAAGAGTAGGTCCTCCTACTCTGATGTGTTGTAGTCACTGGAGCAGACAGGTATTACAAAGGAAGTAAGAGTCCCTTGGATTTCACTAAAGTTTCGGGGTGTAGCCACGGATAGTGTGACTAAGTGTCGAAAATGTGGTTATGTGTTGGTCTCAGATGGAAATTAAGTGTCACAAGTGTGACCCAGGTGTAGGGTACTGAGGGTCACAGATGAGGTTTGAGAACTTGTAGCCACCTAGGTTCCGCACTGAAGTGTGGATTCTTCTGCCAGGGTGGCTATAGATGTGACTACAGATGTAGCGAGAACGCACACGTGAAGTCACAGGTGTTAATCCAGCGTCCAAGCCTGGATGGGCTGTCGCAGGCTGGACCCTGCAAAGACACGATGGAAAAAGGGGGCGGGCCCAGGCGAGTAAAGCGAAACTGCATCCCGGGAAAATGAAACCTAAATAGCCTAAACAGCTCGTGGGCAACCGCGGGCTTCCCTCTGTCTCAATGGCTACGGGAACCCCAGTCCTGGACCTCCATCCTACCCTTACACATATCCCACCTGCAGATCTTCAGATCACAGATCCCGCCAGGCCCACCGCCCTCCGGTGTCCCTGATTCTCTACACTGCTTTTCCCTGATCGCCCCCTACTCTGTGGAGGGTTCAAGAATCTCTCCCTCCTCTGGGCACTGGCTCGCTCCCTCCCTGCGTGGGATCAGGGTCCCAGGGTCCCGCATACCTGGTGCCGGAGCCGCCGGGACGGTTTTATCTCAGTGAGAAGGAGGCAGCCAATACTTTTATAGGACCCGGGTAAGGGGCGGGGCGGAGTGCAGCTGGGTGTGGCCTAAGGGCTCCTGACGCCACTAGGGTGTCACGTGCCAGGCCGGTGGCACAACACTCTCGGAATCACAGTCGTCCAAGCCCTTTGTAGATTCAGTGAGAGACTGACTCTGCTTTGGACAGCACAGTCAAGATTCCGGAGGGACACTGGAAGTAGTAGCCTAGTCTACCTGCCAGGCTGCCCAGGTGGGAATGTGGGAGAAGTCTTTCCCTCTGCAGCTCCTCAGGAAAACACAGCGGGAGAAGGCAGGATACCCACAAGGATCTCAAACAAAGTCAGCAGCTTTTGTTTGTTTTGTTTAACTCTCAATAAAGTATTGGGAAGTGTTGTCTAAAGAGAGGCTTCACATTGAGGATGATAAGAATAAGAGTATTTCGGGGCTGGAGAGATGGCTCAGAGGTTAAGAGCACTGGCAGCTCTTCCAGAGGTCCTGAGTTCAATCCCCAGCAACCACATGGTGGCTCGCAACCATCAATAATGAGATCTGGTTCTGCAGGTATACATGCAGGCAAAACACTGTATATATAATAAATAAATAAATCTTAAAAAAAGAATAAATAAATAAATCTTAAAAAAATAAGATTATTTCAGAGGGTGGTGACAGAAACCCTGTCTCAAAAAAACCAAACACACACACACAAGAATATTCCAAAGCTGCTACTTGTAATACTATCTCCAGATTAATCCTAGGTTAAAGAGTAAGACCCTGTCTCGAAATGTAAAATATAACTGCTGATTAGAGTTGCATCCAGCCTTCATTACAGAAGCTTCTAATTGCAATGAGCAGAATCCTGTAACTGGCCCAAGAACAGAAAATGAGTGTTGGTGGAGTGTTCACCCTGAATGAGACATCTCTGTCACCCCCTCCAAGGCTCAGGGAGCATCTCCCAAAAGTGGGTACAAAGAGCCAGAGGGTGGAGAGATGTGCAGAAAAGAAAATGCCTTCCGAGTATGACATAGCCATTGCTGTCATGACCTCTATAAGATTGGTCTCATCAACAGTTCATCATGGATATGGGAGGGGCCCCTCCCCCATTATTGGCAAGCTTTAAGGTAGGGGGTGTCATTTATCCCGTCCTTGTTCCAGCTGAATCAAGAAAGTAATCAAACACAGAGGTCTGCTCAGAAAATATGAGAGTATTGTTGAGAAGGGCTCCAACGGGGTATGGGGAAGGGAATAGGCCATAAAAACCACCAGTTTAAATGAAACCAAAAAAAAAAAAAAAAAAAAAATCATTGTATAAACAGATAACGCTCTCTCTTTTCTTTTTCTTTTCTTTCTTTCTTTCTTTTTTTTTTTTTTTTGATATTCAAATACTGGAAGGAAATAAAAACTTTTGGAAATATTATATATTATTCGGGTGATTTTTCTTAGGAAATATGCCATGACTGCTGGGAGAAGCCCAGATTATGATGTACCCCCTCCTCCTGGAGACCTGTGTGTAACCTCCACCTACTGACATGACATGCAGGCCCCTGCTTCTCATAACTAAGGTTTCTGTGTGGAGCAGAGTGCAGTGTTCATTGCCAGAACAGCCTTTCTATTGGTTTAGGTTCTTTTTGTTTTTGTTTTCGTTTTTTTTTTTGTTTTGTTTTTTGTTTTGTTTTGTTTTGTTTTGTTTTTTGAGAAAGCCTTGACTGTACTGGAACTCACTCTGGAAACCCGGTTGGCCTCAAATTCACAGAGATCCGCCTGCCTCTGCTTCCCGAATGCTGACTTTAAATAAGTGCTCAACCGTGCCTTTTGAACCAGGTTGTGACCCTCAGGAAGGTCCCAGAGAGCACCCTCTACCAGGTGAACTTATGTGTGGCATGGCGATTCTGTTTCTTTCACTTCGCTCAAGCGAAGCGGTCCACATTGGGCCAAGCTCTGAAGATCTCCAGCGAGGACTTCCCTCTTCCCTGTCTGCTACCGTGAGAGAGGCTGTTCGGAAGCCGGCGGCTGGCCGCTCACAGCAGCTGTTTTACCCCCGAGCGCTCCCTCCCTCCCGCGCTTGGATGGGGGAGGGGGAACAGGGGGGACAGAGCTGAGAGAGTAGGGGAGGGCGGGCGGGGGGGGTGGGATGAGGTGGGGGTGGGGTATCGGAATAGCTGGACTCTAAAAGAGGGGGCATGAGCGATTGGGCTTCCTTGAAAGTCCTTTCCCACACCCGCTTTATGACTCCAGAATTCGAAAGTGCTACTTTAATTTGCAGAGAAAAAGGGAGTGTCTTGGAGTGGAGGGTGGGGGTGCTGCACTAGATATAACTGGTGTTGGCATCTGCACCAAGATGAGAACCCTTACTCTGGTCAGGGTCATCATCATCGCTGTCCTCACTTTCCGTGGCACTGGGGCTGTCCATGTCTGCTGCGGGCTCGTTGAGGACCACCACGTCAGCCTCCTCCCGGATGTCCTTGCCGAACCACACGGCCTTGTAGCCGCCCTCTCCCTCGGGCCGCCGCTCCTTAGTCAGGATAGATCTCACGGCTAAAGGACTGTCCCCAGCCTGGACGGTCTTAGGAGACCCGGGAGCTCTGAGCTCAGGAGTAGGAGGCCCGGAGCTGGGGGGCGTGGGACTGGAGGACATGGGGCTAAGTGGCCCGGAGGGAGACTCGGCCGTCTTCAGACCCGGCTGTGGCTGCGGGTTTGAGGTGGACGACCAGCTGGCCTTGTGGTCTGGGAAGAAGGTCAGGTTGTCATAGACACTCTGAGGTGGTGGCTTCTACAGGAGCAGCAAGAGCAGAGAGGCATTAGTGACAGAGCAGTTACTCCCCCACTGCCCTCTTCCTAGGCTTGGCTCCCACTCTTCCCCTGCCTGGTGTTAGCACACCTATCCCAGCCCACCTCTGCTTCCTTTCCCCAGCTGTTCCGGTTCATCCCTCCATTGTCCCACTTCTGTGACTCCTCCACCCTGGGTTAGAGCCGATCCTACTCTGTCTTGTCCAGTTCCCCACCGAGGCCCTTACCGAAACCTTGCCAGAGCAACAATTGAACCGGTGCCGGTAGTGCTTGTGGATGAGGATGACCAGGCAGATGAGGGCCAGCAACAAGAGTGCTCCTAGCACCCCGCCCAGCACTGCCATGTCCACCGTTGAAAATCGCTGGCCTTCTTGTGACTCTGTCCAAGACACATGAGCTCTTACTATTGGAACATTCCCAAGTACTCCCCTTTCTGACCTGGGCCAACCTCAGGTACCATGAAAACAAGACAGACATGGCCTGGCCCACCTCCTAGAGCTGAGGTTCTGAGAATGGGTGCTAACTCCACCAGGGAGGCTGCCTGGGGATCACAAGGCCCCTGGTGGCATGGCCACCAGCTTCTGATACACCAGGATGGCCTTCAAGGGCATGCTATGAATAACTGAATGTGAACTTTGTCTTATGTGGCTTCAACTCCAATTTTGAATACATGTTGCACTTAGACCAGAAGCAGGGCTCAATGACACTTGACACAGTTTTTAGAGAACTCACTAAAGAGAAGTCTGCCATGTAAAACCACCACCACTGGTGACCATTCCTGTGGGACCTTAACTGTGTCTGGCCCCTTGTGGTCCCCTGTACCCTGAAGGGCTCTGGGTACAGATAAATGACTAGTACAAAAATCTTTAAATAGGAACCTTGAGTGTGTGTGTGTGGTGTATGTGTGTGTGGTGTGTGAGTGTGTGTGGTGTGAGTGTGTGTGGTGTGAGTGTGTGTAGTGTGTGAGTGGTGTGTGTGAGTGGTGTGTGAGTGTGTGTGGTGTGTGAGTGTGTGTGGTATGAGAGTATGTGTAGTGTGTGAGTGGTGTGTGAGTGTGTGTGGTATGTGAGTGTGTTTTTGTGTGTGAGTGTGTGTGGTGTGTGAGTATGTGTGGTGTGTGAGTGTGTGAGTGTGTGTGGTATGTGATTGTGTTTTTGTGTGTGTGGTGTGTGAGTGTGTATAATGTGAGTGGTGTGTGTGGTGTGTGAGTGTGTGTGTGGTATGTGAGTGTGTGGTGTGTGTGAGTGTATGTGGTGTGTGAGTGTGTGTGGTATGTGAGTGTGTGTGTGTGGTGTGTGAGTGTGTGTAGTGTGTGAGTGTGTTTGTGTGTGTGTGGTGTGTGTGGTATGTGAGTGTGTGTGGTGTGTATGTGTGGTGTGTGTGAGTGTGTGGTATGTGTGTTTTTGTGTGTGAGTGTGTGTGGTATGTGAGTGTGTGTAAAAGTGTGTGTGGTGTGTGAGTGTGTATGTGAAAAGTATGTGTGTGGTGTGTGTGTGAGTGAGAATGCGTGAATGTGTGTGTGAGAGTCTGTGAGTGTGTCGTGAGAGTGTGTATGTGTGAGTATTTGTGTGGTGTGTGTGAGTGTGTGGTATATGAGTTTGTGTATGGTATGTGAGTGTGTGTGTTGTATGGGTATGAGTGTGTGTATGTGTGAGAGTGTGTATGGGAGTGTGTGTGTGGTGTGTGTGTGAGTATATGTGGTATGTGTGTGTGTGGTTTTTGAGTGTGTGTGTGTGGTGTGTGAGTGTGTGTGTTAGTGTGTGCCTATGAATGTGTGTGAGAGTGTATGTATGTGTGTGAATGTGTGTGTATATGTATATGTGTGAGTGTGTGTGTGTATGTATGTTTTAAGTTTATTTATGTAGTTGTGTGTATTGTGTGTATTTGTATTTGTGCTGGTGCTGCGTGGTATGGTATGGTATGGTATGGTATGGTATGGTATGGTATGGTATGGTATGGTATGGTATGGAGTGATCAGAGCATAGCTTACAGAAGTCAGTGTTCTTCCACTATGTATATGGGACCCAGGAATCCAACTCAGGTTGTCAGGCCCTTCACCTGCTGACCCCCCTGCCAGTTCCCATCTTATGTTTTAAGGCAGGACCAGTCTCTTACTGACCTAGCACTGGCCATAGCTAAGCTATGTGGCCAGTGACCTCCAGGGTTATTCCTGCCTCTGGCTTCCCAAGACTGGAATTGTTAAGTACACTCCCCCATGCTCAGCTGTTTTTTGTGGGTTATGGAGCCCAATTCATATCCTTGTGTCTGGAAAGCAAGTACTTTTTTTTTTTTTTTTTTTTGAGACAGGGTTTCTCTGAGTAGACCTGGCTATTATCCTGTAACTCTTTCTGTAGACCAGGCTAGCCTCAAATTCAGAGATCCACCTGTTTCTGCCTCCCAAGTGCTGGGATAAAAGTTTGTGTCACCACCACTGGCTCATTATGTTTTTAAAGACAGGCTTTCCAGGCTCTCTGTGTGTAGCTATGGTTGGATTGGAATTCACTATATAGACCAGGTAGCCTTGCACTCACAGAGATCTGCCTTTCACTACCTCCCTAGTGCTGGAATTAGGGATGCATTAGTACACCCTGACAGCCATAAAATCTTAATTTTTATCTTGTACCTGCCTCCCTAATTATTGGAGTAGTGCTCGTACCCTTAAACCTTAAATATAGATTGTCCTTGGGCTTATGGGACTCACCGGCTCCAAAATCTTCTCCTGTATCCCCATACTTTCTTCAGCTCACCCTATTCGGCCCCCCACCCCAGGCCATCTGTCTGGAACTAGACACATACTTCTGGAGGTGGTCAGTGTGGTCAGGCCAGGCTACCTGGGTAGACCCTGTTCTACAGCACATACATCCCTGGGCCCCCTGAGTTAAGAAGGGTGATGGTGACTCCAGGGCAAACAATGTGTGGATTACCTAAGGATGAGGGGCTCCTGGTGGGCACAATGGCTGTCAGCTGAGAGGTTCCTGGCTTGGGGGTCTGTGTTGAGCCCCCACTGGGTGTGGCTGGCTGAGAAGTGGTGGTACTGGTTCCTGTAATGGGGAGCACTGGCTGAGAGGTTCCTGGCTTGGGAGTCTGTGTTGAGCCTCCACTGGGTGTGGCTGGCTGAGAAGTGGTGGTACTGGTTCCTGTAATGGGGAGCACTGGCTGAGAGGTTCCTGGCTTGGGGGTCTGTGTTGAGCCTCCACTGGGTGTGGCTGGCTGAGAAGTGGTGGTACTGGTTCCTGTAATGGGGAGCACTGGCTGAGAGGTTCCTGGCTTGGGGGTCTGTGTTGAGCCCCCACCAGGAGTGGCTGTCTGGGGGGAGGTGCTGATTCCAAGAGTAGGTGTGGATGAGGCAGAGGCAGGTGGACTTAGAGTTGTGCCTGAGGGTGGGAATGGGCCAGCACTTCCCCCAGAGCTGGTTGTGGCAGGTCCTTGAGAGGTCCCAGAGGTCGTGGGGGCTTCCAAAGTGGTGCTACTTGAAGGCCCAGTTGTTCCTCCAGCTTCTGGGGGTGTGGGGGACTCTGGCGGTGGCATGGACAGAATTTGGGTTGGCCTCTGTCCCCAAATATGCCTGTTCCACCCTGCTTGGGGGCCCCGGGGCTCACCTGTGGTAGGGGGCTCCTGCTCTGACACTTGGATCTCAACAACAGTGGTGGCTGTGTCCTTAGTCACAGTATTGGTAGCTTCTACCTGGATCAGGAAAGGAACTTGTTCCTTTTGGGTCCCTCTTTACCCCGTACCTTTGGTCCCCTTATTCCCCACTCCACCTCTACATAGAAGGTGTCTGCATGCTCCATAGCCACTGTGGTCAGTATGACATCCGCGTCCATATTGAAATCTGAGGAGTTGGTGATTCGGTACGTCATGGCCAAGTTGAGGTCCTAGGCGAGACTGCAGTGAGACCTGGGCCTGAGGGCCCTACTGTCCATCCCAAGTTGCCCACACCAGAGTTCAATCATACTTAGAGTTCCTAAGTGGCCAGGAAGGGACTGCATACCGGGAAGCCTGGGTACTGAGCCTGGATCCTCAGGATCTCAGAAGGGGAGGTCCTGTCCTTCACTTCTGTGCCAGCCTTAGAACCAAGCACCACTGTGCCTTGGTACCTGCTCTGAGAGAACTGGAGTGGGATCCCAGTGATACTACGAGCCTCCACGATGGCCTGGGTTATTGAGTAGCGGGCCATATCATCCTGATCAGCCTGGGGAGTCATTGGAAATAGGAGTAAGCAATGAGATTTACTGGAGCTGGGGCTGCAGGCTCAAGGGTATACAGGAGACACATCTGTCATCCAGTGCTGGTACCCACCCTGACCAGCAAGGTGAAGTTCATGGAGCTGGGGACACTTTTGGCCATCGTGAGGTTGCCAGAGTTTTTGTTGATGATAAATATGTCATTCGTGTTTCCTGGGAGAATTTGGAATGGAGTTTAGTGTCTGGTCCCTCTGTTGCCGGGTCAAGGTGCTACAGGGCTAGCTCTCACTCACCTCCCACAATGCTGTAGATGACTGGCTGGTTAATGCCCTGATCTCCGTCCACAGCATAGATGGGACCAGGACTCAAGATGAGCGGGGATGGCTGTAGGGATAGGGACATCTTGAGGTTGAACCACCCCAGTTCTTATTCTGTTGTTGTCCCTCAAGGCTTGAAACATGAACGGAGCAGCACCTGCTTGGGACAGAGCTTCAACCACAGCAGGACTCAGTGGCAACAAGAACTTAAGAAAGAAGACTTGCAGCCTCTATGTGTGCCTCTCTGCACAGTGGAGGCTGGGGTAGCCTTGGCTGGACCCCCCTGCCCAGTAGTCCCTCTGGCCTTAGAGGAGATTGTCAGCTGGGCAAAGAGGTAGCAGTACTCTATTAGCATCAGCCCAGCCCCTGAAGTCCTCACATCCCAGCTAACATTGCAGGCTCCACATTCCTCACTCATTTTTGTCTGCGTGTCCTCCACCTGAGGCTAGGATAGTTAACAAATGATTATTCATTCATAGTAGTTTCAAAAAAAAAAAATCACAAAACTGCCTAAGCCTCTCAGGGATCACAGGACCACTGCTGGATCCCTACCCCGAACCCCTATGACTTGAATCTGGATTCAAGTGAGACCCTGGGCTTTCTTACTCCCATTACCAGTATGTGTCCTGTGGGGATCACCCCATGGTACTGGGCCTGGATGCAGAAGTAGCCATCTGAGAAGGAGCAAGGCAGGAACCAGGGGTTCCGTAAGTCAGCTGGAAGCACATTCAAGACCAGGGTGGCAGTGGCTGTGTGGCTGAGCTTTACACCTTCTTCCAAGGTATCCTGTAGTAACAGCCAGCCCGGACAGGTCAGGCCCACAATGACTTGGACAGGGCCTGAACATCCAGGACTCTTAGCTGTGGTCTGCTTACCCGTGCCAGCAGCTTGAAGGTCATGTTCTGATTCTTGTAGAAATCCAGGGTCTTCTGCAGCCTCAGAGAAGGGTTGTTTTGCCCCATCAGGGAAAAGAAGCTGCTGGCGTTCTGACAAGGGGGAAGAGGGTAGAACCTGAGACTCTGGAAGGTGGAGGGACTGAGGCCTGGAAGCATCAGAAGGGAGGGGTAGGTAATGAGTGGGGACGGGGGAGCACTGACAGGGGTTACTTCCTGGAGAGTGTAAATTAGGGTGTCCTCTTTGTCAGCATCTTTGGCTTCCAGTTCTGTCCCAGGGATGATGATTGTACCCACTCTGGTGTCCTGGGGATGGAGAAGAAGTTGTGTATAAATCTCCCTGATGGTGTCCACACTCAGAAGGCTCCTTCTCTGGCCCGGCTGAACTCACCTCTGCTACATCATATTTCTTGATTGTAAAGGGGAACTCTGGGGCATTGTCATTGACATCCTTGATAATCACCAACACCTTCAACACTGTCACCTGCAGGAAAGTCACCAAGCCAAGCCCTGGGTAAGGAACTACACTCTGATGCCCCCATCATTAATTCCTTCCTTCTTTATCAGTTCATTCAGTCACTTTTTTGCTCTTTCATTCAACAGACATTGGTGGCATCAACAGTGTAGTGGCCTGTGGGCTCCCATGCTAGGAGGAACTCAGACTATAAAAACAAAGCTAAAGCACATTTTAGAGTGTGGCAGCATGTGTGTGTTCAGTGTGCTGAAGGCAAATAAGGGCAAAATATCAAAGGAAGAAGACTGTGAGCAGCCTCACAGCCCCAGAAACAGGTCTCCAAGCAAAGCAGACAAAGGAGCCTTCGGGTTAAAATCAACCAGCTGTATTCCATGACAGCGATGTTCCTGAGACCCAGGAGGGGTGAACACAGACAAGTGCTAGAGGACAGAGCGGAAAAGGTATTCTCCAGTGACAGATATCAAGGCCATGGCCGCTGTCTCTGTCTCCTCTGTCCCTCTATCTGTCTGTGTCTCTGTTTCTCTATGTGTTGTGTTTTTGTGCATTGAGGGTGGAGTCCAGGGCCTCAACCATACTAGGCAGGTATTCTACCACTAAACTATACCTAAAAATGAAGTTTATTTTTAATTGTTATCTATCAGAGACATGGGCTGATATGTGTGGGTAACACGACATGGGACAGGGTAGGAGCTCAGGGTGTGAGAGTTGCTCTTGGTGGAGCAGAAAGTGTGTGGGGCCTATTGCTTCTTCGAGCTTCCTTCAGTAAAAGGCTGTAATGTGGTGTAGGCTGAGGGATGAGGGCGAAGATGTACAGGGTAGGGAGGTGGACAGAGCAGATTAGGAGGGTTAGGCATCCTCTGAGATGACTTTCCCATGCTGACCTGAACAGGCAGATATAAGGACTGTCTACAGTAAGCCAGTGTCTGCATACCCTAGCCTTGCCTGCCCAGCTGAGAAATTAGCTTTGAATTCCAATAAGAAAATGTGGGTTTCTGTGTGAGGCTGGGCAGAGCCTGGTTATGACCCTCTGGGGGCTTGATGCATGGCAAAGGGACTGGGTGGGGCCAGTGACAAGAGAGCAGCAAGTGAATCTTCCAGAAAGGTCAGTTAGAGGACCTGTGGATCCAAGCCCATAGGACTCAGGTAGGAAGTGTAGTTCCGACTCTAACTGAGGCACAGCCAACAGGGCACCTTGGGTGGGGTGACAGCAAAAGTCAGATGAGTGGCCTGTGAAGGTGTCTCCCAGGTGAGGGGTAAGGGGCAGACTTGGGGTCTCAGGGTGTTGACTTGTACATGGCTCTAAGTTAGCTGAATTTGAGTCTCGAGTTCAGGGCAGTCTGAACTCAAAGAAGTGTGGGAGTAGCCAGTAGAGGTCCTAGACTCCCTGTGGTGAGGTCCTAGAGGAGTGGTCTTGGGGTACTCTGACAGAGGGCAGGTGTGGGCAGATAACGGGGTTGACTTACCACAGAGTCTGAGTCTTTTCTCTTGCATTGCAGATCTGTCTCCAGCACTGAGTTTTCCTGAGGATGAAGTCAGTGCCCTATGAATCACCCGCCCAGTAGGAAGTCAGTGCCCTAGGCTAGGAGAGTGTGGCTAGGAAGGCCAGTACTTCTCCAGGGCCATCAGTAGCAAATCCTGGGTGTAGGGGGTATCTGGCAACTTTGTTCCTCAATGGTCACACCCCTCAGTACAAACCCACCAAGGACTGGGCCCAAAGGGTTTTTCAGTATCTGGGGGACATAGAGCCATTAACCCCTGTTCCCCTGAGTCTTCTCCAGGCTAGGGGAGTGAATGCTCATGTATGTCCCCATGGTGGCACATTCCATCCAGCCAGTACACTGTACCTCATAATCTGGAGTCATGTTGAGAAATAGCTGATTCTCCACGATCTTAAATGCGAAAGGGTTAGGCGAGGGTCCCAGGGTCACCCTCAGGCCTTCTGGAACTGAAATGTTTGCCAGCAGCTTAGGAACATTGCTGTTCTCCTCAACTTCAAAAAAGGTCTTGTTCATAGAGCAGACTAGAAAATTATAAAGGAGAAGTTGGTGCCTTCCACCCCAGCTCTGCTGCCTACCCATCCTGCCCCTGTCCAGCACATACCTTGATCCTGGGCAGAGGTCCCTGGAGGTTGGCCAAACAGCACCATGAGCAATGGCAGCAGTGTAGGCCACAGGAGGGCCGGAGCCCCCATGGTGGCGGCTGTCAGCTGAAAGAAAGGTCCAGCTGCCTTGTTCCAGGGCTGGTACAGTTCCTGCCTTGGCGACCTTTGCCCCTGCCAGGCACCGCCTCATTTTATGACCCTTAATGATGGCCTCTACCAAGGGGGTTCCAGCTGGCCGTAGCTAAGAGGGGGCGTGAGGTCATATTCCAGCCTGGACTTCCAGGAAGTTAAGCGGGGACTCAACCCATAGACATTACACACGAGGTATAAAAAACATGAGAACCACTGGGAGTGGGGAATACAGGACAAGACTGGGGCCACAGGCCAAAGGAGGCTGAGTCAGGGCCGAGGTGCTGAAACACGCCTGGAGGTGAAAACTGTTGATAGGTCTAGGGAGCTGAGGAGGGGTGTGTGTGTGTGGGGGGGGGGTGCTGAATCAGAGGTCTGGGGGCGGAGCTGGGGCAGGGCTGGAGCCCTGGGAAGGGCTGGGGAGCTGGGGGCAAGGGCAGGGATGTGGGCTGAGCCATTGGTCTTGTGTCTACTGTAACCCGCATCAGGATAACCCTCATCTTGTCTCTTTCTCTCCAGTGTCCTTCAGCAAAATTCCTGAAGCCACATTACGTTGCCTCCCTACTCTGTTTGACTCCCAAAGGAAGATTGTGCCAGCCTGCTGCTCCTGCTTGTCTGGGAAACTCAGCAAGCAGTTCCCCCAGTGTAGGGCCTGGCAGGACCGGGCAGGGCCTTGGTAATAGGATGCAAATGAAACCTTCCAGCCACAGAGGGGAGCTGGAGTGGGGGCGGGGTGGGGGTGGGGCAGTATCTGCTGGGAGACAGGAATCCTGGTGAAGACAGCCCAGGCCTCCATTAGACCTGCTCCAGTCTTTCCTGCTTGCCCCTCTCTCCCCTATAAGCCCTCAGAGCTGGGGGGCGCATCTAGGTGGAGCCAGGAGGGTGGTAAGGGTGTTGTGTTGAAAGGGCCTGCAGAGCCCTCACCTGCTGGGCTGCTCTGGATGCCCGAGGCTCCAGGATTCTGTCAGGACTGAGCACTTTGTCTCATGAGCCTTCAGTGATCCCACAGCTGTCTACTGGGAGATGACATCACTATCCAGACTCAGGATTGTGCCAAGACCACATAGACATGCACACAGGTCCTTCCTTCCACAGACATGCACACAGGTCCTTCCGCTCACGAGTGACGCCTATCTGTCTTGCCTGTGCCTCCTCGCCACTCCATGCACCCCCGACAACATGGCTGGACCAGGGCTGGGATCCCTGGGATCCCAGGGCAGGGTGGGACACTGGGCAGTTCAACTGGGAAAAGAGAAGTACAGTTGATGCCAGAGATAAGGAAGAAATGTCCCAGCTGACCTCCCAAGTTCAAAGACCAACTGGGTGTGGTCCTAGCCATTGAATGGTGGTTGGAACTACCCACACCTGCCAGGCTCACTGAGCAGGGGTTGCCTTGATTTTGTAAGATATGACACACCATGAGCTGAAAGACTAGGGTCTAAATTCCTTCTTTATTGATGCCAAGGTCAACCAAACCCTAGCTCCAGCCAGGCTCCTTGAGGCTCCCCCTCCTCCCTCATCAGGGCTGCCTGGTTGCTTCAGTCCACTCTGAAACATCTACAGCAGGCTTTGGTCCAGGAGGCAGCCAGGGAGACCAGGACCCATCCAGAGGAAGCCTGGGGAGTAGCCTGTGGAGGGAGATGAGTGGTTAGGGGATTAGGATGCACCCACATGACTAGGGAACAGCAAGGGCGCTTTAGGAGTTTAGCTGAGGGTGGAATGCTCACCAGTCCTGTAGGGCCTGAGTGTTCGACCACAGCAAGCAGAGCTGGTCCTCTGAAGGCTTGGACCGAGCCAGGCTGGTCTCTGGGAAATTTTCTGTGTCCTGCTCACTGTCCCCCACCCAAGCCCAAATGAGAATTAGTGGTAGTACTGGGATGTGGCAGATTGCTGATAGGGGACCAAGTCAGGCCTGTCCCATACCAGCAAGTCTGGAGAGTTCTACCTACAGCAGCTCACCTGCGTTTCCCCACCAGACCCTGCAGCAGGCGCTGCAGCCTGGCACTATCCTGCAGGCGGCTGAGCTCGCTGGTGAACGTCCCGTCTGAATGTCTTGGGATCCTGGCAAGGGGCGGGGCGAGGAGGGTCAGAGTACGACCTTATGGGCCTCTGGGCGTGGCCGTGGTGAAGTGGCGTTCCCCTACCAGACTCACCTGGGGGGCGCAGGGAGCGCGGCGGAGCCCATGAGCAGCAACAGCAGCATCAGCATCAGCAGCGGCAGCGGCGTGTGAAGTGGAGGCTCCATAGTCGGGCTCTATGTGTGCAATTGCAGGCTGAGCCCCGTGCCCCTGCTTTATAGCTGCCTCTGCGGCAGGCGGGGGGCTCCGGCACCGCCCCGGCTCCACGCGGCCGGCCGCGCCCCATCGATTGCGGGAAGGTCAGGGCCGCCCCCCCAGCTGTCGTCCGGCCACCTCCCGTCCCCACCGCCGCGTTGGCGCCCCTCAGCTGGCTGGGCGGGGGGAGTAAAGGGGATAATGCTACCAGGTAGCGAAATGGACACCTTCGTCTGGGACCAGGAGCAGGGAACAGGGTTTGGCAGTTCAGGACAGGCAGAGGGAACCTCACTGCCAGGCATCAGTTCATATTGGCGCCTAGCCTAGACCAAGGCCCTGGAGCACTCTTCCCCTGAAGGGGCTGTAGGTGTCTTGAGAAGCCTAGGAGAGGCCAGTGGATGACTGAGGGAGAAAGGAGACCAGGGTTCTCTCTAGAGAAGCCAGGGGAGACAGATGCAGAGAATCGCCTGTAAGGGCAGCCCAGCACCCGAAGCAAAAATGGGAATACTCTTAGGCCCCGAGGTTGCATTTTTGGATGAGAGAAAACAGTCTATTCATCTTGGAAGCAGAAAGCAGAGATGGATTAAAACAAGAGAAAAGCAGGTCTTAGAGGTTATAGGGGAGTGTGGAGGATGAATTATGAATGGGGATTGATGACAAATAGGCTTGCAAAACATCTTCATCCCTGGAGTTTGGAACCTTACTTCCACCCAGCACCGAAACCCAAAATCAAATTACAAACCTATCAAACTGTTATGAACTAGCTCTTGAGTAAAAATTGTGTGTTTTTTTTTGTTATTGGGAATAGCTTGACTTGGTTTTTGGAGAAAGAGTACATAGCTCAGGCTGCCTTTGAACTCACTATGTAGCCCATGTTGGTTGTTGGTCTGGAACCCTCAGCAATCTCCTTGCCTTAGCCTCTCAAAAGCAGAGATTGCAGCCAGGGTCAGGTCTCCAAGCCCAGCTCTGCTTGTATTTTGATGGGAGGGGTTAGGTTTGAACTTTGGAGTTCTTTGTTTTGAATCTTAGAGACAGGTCTTATGCACGCCAGACTGGTCTCAAATTTGTTATATTGTTTAGGATAACCTTGAACTTCAGATCTTCCTGACAGTACCTCCGGAGTACTGATGTTACAGGGGTGTGCTAACATGCCTGGTTTTATGCAGTGCTAAGAACGGAACTTGGGGCTTCACACATGCTAGGCTAGCTCTCCATTAAATGACTTCCCACCCCTATCCTTCCATAGGAGACTTTAGAGAAGTTTTCAGTTTACAGAGAAACTGAACTGAAAGCATGGCATTCAGTTCCCTAATGCCCCTCACATTCGCCTTCCACCCAGAATTCCCTTTTATTAAGAAGGGGGAGTAGTGAGTATCAGTTCTGTGGTTAAGAGTGAACTGCTCTTTCAGAGTTCCCACACCCACACAGGGTGGCTCTCTGTTGCCTGTAACTCCCACTTCTGGGCTTCTGATGCCTTCTAGCCTCTGCAGGTACTGCAGTAATGTTCCCCACAGACACACAAGTATACACAGAAACAAGCAACTTTTTTTTTTTTTTTTTTTCTCGAGACAGTGTTTCTTTGTACCGCTCTGGCTATCCTGAATTCACTGTGTAGACCAGGCTGGCATCTAACTCAGAGATTTGCTTGCCTCTGCCTCCTGAGTGCTGAGATTAAAGGCATGTGTCAACACTGCCCAACTGTTAAAAAAAAGTTCTGGGTGGGGGTTGGAGATTGCCGTGTAGAGCAGCCAGATCCCAGTACTCAGGAAACACAAGCAAGCAAATTTCTGAGTTCAAGGTCAGCTTGATCTACAAAGTGGGTTACAGTATAGCCAGAGCTATACAGAGGAATGCTGTAAAAAAAACAAAACAGAACAGAAGTAGTTGGTGGGGGGGGGAGATACTAGTGTCACACACACTTATAGCCTAGCTTTTGGGAGGCAGAGGCAAGAAGATTACAACAGCAAGCTTCAAGCCAACACGGGTAACATGATGAGAGCTTTAACAGTAAACAAAATGCTCTGGCAGTGCAGAGATGCATTTGTCACAGTTTCCCTGTGTAGCCCTGGCTGTCCTTGAAGTGGCTCTCTAGACCAGGCTGGCCTCAAACTCACAGAGATCAATCTGCCTCTGCTACCAATGCCTGGCTTGAACCATGATCAACACAGCTGTACCATCAAGGCCTGCAATTCTCACCAGGGACCACGTCAGGGGTTGTACATTCTGTCAGTTTGGACAATGGAAACTGGTGTGGATCCAGCTCTATAGTATCGAAGAGAATAATGTGACAGCCCTGAAAATTCCTTGTAAAACTTTTTCTTCCTGCCTGCTAGTGTTGCCTGTTCAGAGTGTCAGGGCTGGTAGCAGAGGTGGCTTCATTTTTACAGTGGCTCCTAAATCTTAAAGATGACATTGGCCTGTTTGTGTGGATGGGTGCAGGGAAGTCAGAGAACAGCTTGTAGGAGTTGGATTTGTCCTTCCTTGTGGGTTCCGTGATGAAACTCAGGTGGGCAAGCTTGACAGCAAGAGCTTGTGCCCACTGAACCGCCTTGGCAATCCCACACTGGCTTCTTTCACTTGGCAATAATCATTTACACATCCTTTCAGTCTTTTCATGGCTCAGTAGCTCAGATCTTTCCAGGGCTTAGCAATGTTCCACTGTCTGAATGGACCAGTGTGTTTATCCATTCACCAGTGAAGGACATTTGTGTTGTTTCCACGTTCAGGCAACTATAAATCTGCTATAAACTCTGTGTGTGTGTGTGTGTGTGTGAGCCACAGACACAGCTCAGTGGTAGAGTGCTTGCCTAGTGTGCATGAGGCCTAGGCTCAATACTCAGGACTGCAGGGGGCAGGAAAACATATGTCAGTCTTGTCCAATGGAACCATAGAAATTACGCTAGAATCAAATCCCTGAGTAAATAAGCAGAAGGGAGAAGACAGGTGGTTAGTGAGCAGTGACCTACAAGAACAGTGGTGGGCAGGAGGTAGTCCTCTTCCAACCAGGCATCCGGATGTGCACAGGGCCTCATCAGGAAGATAGTCAGGCCAGGGGGAGGTGGAGGTAGTAGGACAATGGCCACTGCCCTGCAGGGACCACTATACACTGAGGTCAGAGGAAGATGACATACCTGGTTGAGGTTGTATTTGGAAAGGACTTAAGAAAGATCCTGACAGCTGGGAGTTGGTGGCACATGGCTTTAATTCCAGCACTCGAGAGGCAGAGGCAGGCAGATCTCTGTGAGTTCAAGGCCAGCCTGGTCTACAGAGTGAGTGCCAGGACAGGCTCCAAAGCTACACATAGAAACCCTGTCTTGAGAAAGAAGAAGAAGGAGGAGGAGAAGGAGGAGGAGAAGAAGAAGAAAGATTCTGTCAGCCAGGTATGGTGGCATATGCTTCTAATACCAGCACATAGGAGGCAGAGGCAAGAGGATCTCTGTGAATTTGAGGCCAGCCTGATCTATATAGAGAGTTCCAGGACAGCCAAGGCTACAGAAAGAGACCCTGCCTTGAAAACCTAATCAATCAACAAACAAAAATAATGGTCCTGGAGAGATTGCTTTGTCAATGCACAATTGAGACCAGGAGAAAAGCAAAATCTTGTGCACTTTGGTTGCATGAGAGCCACTCGTGATGGGCTACAATGACTTGGATTTTATAACGTTGCTGTCTCTGGTTCTTACCTGGACTTCTTTCTATGATGAAGTATAACCTGTATACTGAATAAACCATTTCCATCCCATGGTTTTGGTCATGGTGTTTACAGCAACATAGAGAAGCAAACTAAGGCAGGCTATCTAATGAGACCATGTTTCAAAAACAAAAAACAAACAAACAAATAAACAAAAAGCAAGCAAACAAACAAAAACAAAAAGAAACCTAATATGGCTTGGCATGGTGGTATATGCCTTTAATGCTAGCACTCAGGAGACAGGCCTGTGAGTCTCTGTTAGATTAAGGCCAGCCTGCTCAATATAGAGAGTTCTAGGCTAGCTAGGGCTACATAGAGAGATTGTCTTAAAACAAAAACAATCAACAAGAACAAAAAATCAGGGGTGGGGGAATGCCCTAGACATTTTTTTCTATATTGCTAACATGCTGGCTCAATTACCAGAGGGAGTAATTACTTTCCTCAAACATGTCTATTTCCAGGTGGCATTTGGCAGCAGTTGATGACAGAACAGTCATCCGAAGGTACTGGAATCTGAGGCCTGCAAGGATGGGGAGCAGAGGTGAGGTCTATGCTCCCAGAAGACCCTTGCTTGAGAAGGCACACAGATGCTCCTAGCAATTAGCCTCCTGGAGCAGAACTATGCACCCAAAGCAGTGCTCTGCCATCTCAACACACCCCTTAAGAAGAGCAGGGTGGCTAGGTATGGTGACGAAATGCCTGTAAACCCAGATAGAGGGAAAAGGCCAGCTTGGGCTACATATCTGATGTCATCTGAAAAAGTAAAGGACAGGCTAAGGGTGGGTACCTTTTGGGAGACCTCCTCTGAATGAGCTCTGCCAAGGCTCTGTGCAGCCAAGGAAGGGAGCCCTTGGCTCTAGGCCTGGTCTTGAATTGGGCCACAGACTCCTGCACATCCTGCTTGAGAATGTCAGTCTCAGCCCATGCTGAGCCAGAGTACACTCTGGGCCATGTTGTTGGAGTTATAACAATTCAGCAGCACTGGGGATGGTCAGTGTCTGTGGTCTGAAGGGCACAAAACCTTCACTCTTGCCAGCAGTGTCTAGCGATGTGTAAGGGTCACACAGCCTTGAAGCAGAAGTCTGCAGGTGGCAGTAACAGGTGTTAAAAACTTGCTCATCACCTGAAAACTAGCCATTCAAATGAATTTTCTTACCAGATTTAGCTTCCAATCTCTCCTACAGATAAAGATGGCATCTCTCCTGTGGGCTTATGAAGCCTCACAGTTCTAGTCACCAACTCAGTGTCCTCCTGAAGCCATCAATTCCAGGGATGGGATGTCTTCCGTCTGCAGTTTTAACTCTTGACCACTTCAAAATAGCTTGGAGCTGGGCGGTGGTGGCGCACAATTTTAGTCCCAACCCTCAAGAGGCAAAGGTAGGTGAATCTCTGTGAGTTCTAGGCCAGCCTGGTCTACAAAGCAAATTCCAGGACAATCAGGGCCGTTATACAGAGAAACTCTGTCTCAAAAAAACCAACTAACAAACAAACCAGCTTTGAGCAAGGGGAACTGAACCCTGGTACATTAATTCCACCAGTTCTGGGACCACAGAACTCCCAGTTGTCAGGAAGGTCACACCTGTTATCCACATCCATTCCCTTCCCCAATGCTTACACAGTGTTCCTATGCACAAGGATACAAAGCTACACAGAGAAAGCCCGTCTCAAATCAACAACAACAACAAAACAAAGGCAAAGCTGACCAGAACCTGTTTTCCTCTGGTTAAGGGTTGTAATGGGTGTATTGCTCTTTAGGGTCAAGCATGATAACACTGGTATCCTTCTCTTTTCTTTTCTTTTCTTTTCTTCCTTTCTTTCTTTCTTTTTTTTTTTTTTTTTTTTTTTTTTTTTTTTTTTTTTTCAGACAGGTTTCTCTGTGTAGCTTTGGAGCTTGTCCTGGGACTAGCTCTTGTAGACCAGGCTGGTCTTGAACTCACAGAGATCCACCTGTCTCTGCCTTCTGAGTGCTGCGATTAAAGGCATGCACCACCACCATCCAGTTCAAGGAGTTTTTAATTTGGACCAAATTCACCTCACTTACTTCCTCATTTGTCTAATCTCAGGTCACAAAGATTTTTTTCCCATCTTTTCTTCTGAAGTTTTTAGCTTTAAGTTTTACATTAAATCTGAGTTAGGTCTGAGAATGCAGCTAAGTTGGTAGAGCCCTTGCCTTGCATATTCGAGCCTGAGTTTAGTCTCCAGCACCAGAAGCTGATGGTATAGACATCTCTACTCTGGGACTCTGGAAGTGGTGACAGAAGGGTCATAAAATCAACATCATCCTCAGCTATGAGCTATGAAAAAACTTTGAGGTCAGCCTGGTCTGGGGAGATGGCTCAATCAGTAAAGTGCTTGTCACGGGGGGGGGGGGGAACAAGGGATGCTGAGGCCCATATTTGTAATTCCAGGAGGGATGAGGAAATAGGAGGGTCCTGGAGCTTGCTGGCCAGACAGTTTCTCCTATTCAGGGAGCTCCAGGTTCAGTAGAAGACCCTTCCTCAAAAAATATAGTGAAAAGCAATTAGGGAGACATCTGATGTTGACCTCTAGCCTCCACATGCACACACACACACACACACACACATACACACACACAAAAGCATAGACATACGCACACACAATTCATTTGAAAATTTTTGTTTTTGCTTTTGTTTTGGATAGGGTCTCCTGGAGCCCAAGTTAGCTTCAAACTAGCTACATAGCCAAGAATGACTTTGAATTCCTAATCCTGTTCTACACCTTCTCCATGCTGGGATTACAAGTATGTGTAGTAGGAAGTTTCTGTCCTGGCTGGTCTCACAGCCCTTTAGTTCCAAACAAACACACAGAGCCTCATGTTAAGTATAAACTGTTTGGTCAATGGCACTTATTCACTAGCTCTCTCTTAATAATTAATCCATTTCTATTATTTTATATATCTCCACATGCTCTTGGCTTACCTGTGATGTCTGGACCTCTTACTCCTTCGGCAGCTACATGGCATCTCTCTTGTGACTTGCTCTCTATCTTCCTCTTCCCAGAATTCTAGTCTGGTAGCCCTGCCTATACTTTTTGCCTGGCTACATCCTGCCTGTCCATATACCTAAACAGCTTTATTCATCAACCAAGAAGAGAAACATATATTTACAACATTCAGAAGGATATCCCCCATTAAGTGTGCACTGCCACCTAGGTTTTTTGAGACAGAACCTCACTTTGTAGTCCAGACTGACTTAAACTCACAAGAATTCTCCTGCGTCAGCTTCCCAGTTTGTTGCCACACTCTAACAAGTTATGTGTGTGGAAAGTTGTTTGCTTTTTAGTTTTAGTATTATTGTTATTATTAGTGTGTGTGTCCTCAAGTGCACATGCATATTCGTGCACACATGTGAATATGAGCACATACATGTCACAAAATTTGTATAGAATTCAGAGGACAACTTTTCTGTCATAGACTCTGAGGCTCAAACTCAGGTCCCATGTGTGTCATTGGTTCCAAGCACCCCTGCTGAAGGTTTCAGCAGGGAGGAAAGTCTACCTGCCCCTGTGATCGACCTGCCAAGGATGGTTAGAGGGATTTAGGTGCTCTGGGCAGGAGATATTCAGATGTCCAGAAGAATGAACAATCTGTACATGCTCTGAGAGGGCTGGCCCAGTTCCCCTGAAATAGTTTGAATTCAGTTCCTTTTGTCTTGAAAGAACCCCCAGCAGCCACGCACCTGGGAGCTCTCTGCCTTCCTGACAGAGGCCTGTATATTGGTCAGGGGGTATTCAGTCCAGATCTACTTGGAGAATAGCCCTTGTCACAGGATTCCAGGAACTATCTCTCAGCCTTATTGAGATCACATACAAACATTCTTTCATCAGCACAGTCCCCATATTCTTTCACTGCGTACACACACAGCCTTCTAGGGACTGTCCTTGCTGATGTCTCTTCATCATGATCCTCTAGTGTCATCTCTACCTGTGCTGTCCTGTTCCAGCCTAGGTTCCTGTAGTCCAGTGTTGGCACAGGGCAAAGAGTGTGACCTCCAGATGTGGCCTGGGGAAGGAGGGAGACAGAGTGAGCCCCGTGTGAGAGCACTCTTAGCTCAGACATCCCTTGTCAGATATCACAGGTAGCCTGTTGTTCATACAATGTCAAAGGCAAGAAAGCTGAGGATCAAGTGCATACTGAAAGGTGGGAATGGGGCAACCACTCAGCTGCCTACGGGTTAGGGTTGAGCTATGTGTGGTGGTCCAGCACTCTAGAGGCCAAAGCAGAGACTAGAGGATCTCTGAGTTTGGTGGTAGCCTGGTCTACAGAACAAGTTCTAGGACAGCCAGGGCTACACAGAGAAACACTGCCTCAAAAAGCCCCTGCCCAACCCACATACACACAAGAAAAGAAAGAAAAAAGCAAAGAAAAGAAAAACTTAAGGCTAGGCCTGGGAGGTGGCCACATGTCATTTTCACCATGGTCCAGTTCAGCAGTGACTGATGGAGATGGCAATACTAGAGACTTGGGAAGAGAGGTGGTGAGAAATTAGGGTCATCCAAGGCCTGGGTGGGAGGCACTGCTGCACATCTGCCCATGTGTGGGTGTCTGATGGAGGGTGAGCTCGAGGCGCCAGATTGTTCAGTATTGCTAAGCCTTAGGGTAAGGGCAGTCCTAGAACCATCTGAGAAAGAGGTGAGGCGCCCACAGCCTGTTGCAGAACCCAGCGTTGGTGTCTTCCTGCATGGGAAGGACACTGTCCCAATGCAGGAATATAATTTCTGCCAAGTCCTCCCTCTTTTTTCGGCCTGGAAGGTACTAAGTGTCTCCTGGCCTGGTTGGCTGGCTCTGAGAAGTCTGGTCCCAACAACCTGCCCTCCGCGTAAGTTTTTCGAAGCACAAATTAGCCCAGATCACGCAAAACAGCTGCTGCTGCGCCTGTATTATGCGAGTCACTTCACTCAATTCTCATGTTGAAATGAAGCATTCCTTCCTTTGCCTGTTTCCTGGAGTGCCGAAATCCAAGCCGGGACGGGGCGGGGCTGGGCGTGCTGCGGGAATCAGGGCAGCCCTTGCCTGCAAATCCCGGGCTCAGCGCCTTGCAGGAGTGCGTTCAGCTGTTGCCGCCATGGGCAACAACAACGCGGCCGACGGTGGACTGTTGGCCGGGCGTGGACCAGAGACCCTGGGGACTGGCGCTGGGCTTGGGGGCGCGGGTGTGGCGGCGTTGGTGGGGGGCGTGCTGCTTATCAGCATGGTGTTGGCCGGGAATTCGCTCGTGTGCTTGAGCGTGGCGTCCGAGCGCACCCTGCAGACACCCACCAACTACTTCATCGTGAGCCTGGCGGCTGCAGACCTCCTCCTTGCAATACTAGTGCTGCCACTCTTTGTCTACTCCGAGGTGAGTCTCGTGCGCTCTTTCCCCATCCCCTCACCCTTGCTCCACTAACAAACACCCTCACGCTGACCCCAGGCCTCTGAGCCTCTTGGACCTTCAGCAACCTTGAGCCAGCGCGTTTGCAGGGGCTCCAGCTCTCCTCACTTCTGACTGCCGCCGTCTCTGCTCTTCAAAATCCATCGCCAGTTTTGTCTGTCAGTCTTCTGGATCCCTTCCTATTTATTCTCTGTCTGTGATCTGCTGACCCAGAGAGGGCTTGTGGCCCTGGAACCAAGGATTGCAGACATTGTCTTTCCCATTTAAGTCCTGGCTTCTACTCCAGAAATACTGAACACCTAACCCAGGCTAAAAAAAAAAAAAAAAAAAAAAAAAAAAAACAGCCAGACCAACAGGCAAGTGTGCAGACACACATCACTGCCAATGACCACTGCCTTTGGGACCACACACACACACACACACACACACACACACAGAGAGAGAGAGAGAGAGACAGAGACAGAGACAGAGACAGAGACGGAGAGAGACAGAGAGAGAAGACAGAGAGACACAGAGAGAAGACAGAGAGAGAGAGAGAGAAAGAAAGACAGAGAGAGACTTGCCAGTCTGTGCCAGCTCATCTTGTGGAAGAAGCCCAAAGCCTTCAGCCACTCAACTGTCAAGAGCTTGGAACAGTGAAGGGTGTAGGCAGAAGGCCTGGGCAGGATGGTGAGCTGGGGGTGGCTAAAGGGAGTGGGTCAAAAGCTTTTGTAGACTCCTGGGACAGAGTTACTCCAGACCAGGTCTGGTTCTTTGGTGTGTTTGTTATGTAGCCAACTCTTCTTTCTGCCAGAGGTTTGATCAAAGAAAAGCTGCTTAGGACAGGAATGGGGACATAGTAGCCTGAACTATGGGGAGCAGGGAGGGGAGGATGGGATGCTTGTGATTTCTAAGGAAGACACTGAGTTCTGGAGCTAGGACAGGGACCTGCAGCCACACTTGACCCCAGGTCCTCCCCAAGGGACAGACGTCACTGTGATGATTCCTAAGCTCTTAATCGTCCCAGGGATTTGGGGATGGGTGGGTTGAGATGGCTCTATTCGCCTTTGCCCTTGAAGATGAATACTCCATGCAGATTCACAGAGGGCCCTCTGAAGTCTTTGTACTTTTAGAACACATTTGTCCTCGGGACAACTGTTATGTGTGTATGAGTCCTGGAGGTGGGTAGGATTTATGTTTAGTGGGCAGAGGGTAAGACCTAAGCTCCCTTCCAGCAGATGCTATCAATCCCCCTGGGGTCCTCCCCAAGCTTTCGCCTGAGAAAAGAGGCAGGTCTGTTTGCCTCCTCTCTCGCTCTAACACAAGTGTCCCCAACTGCCTCAGGCTCACATTGGGCTGGTATGCTATTGCTTTCCCCAAACAAGAATGGGGGTCAGAAAGTCAGCAGCTGAAAGGCCAGGTCTTGTGTTTCTTTTCCGCAACCTCTTCGTGTCTAGGTCCAAGGTGGAGTGTGGCTGCTGAGCCTCCGCCTCTGTGACACCCTCATGGCCATGGATGTCATGCTATGTACTGCCTCCATCTTCAACCTGTGCGCTATCAGCGTGGATAGGTGAGTACCCGGACGACTCCTCTCCCACCCCTACTTCCCAGTCACCCGCCCAACTTGGCGCCCTCTGTGTCTCTCTAGGTTCGTGGCCGTCACGGTGCCTCTGCGCTACAACCGGCAGGGCCAGCGTCAGCTGCTTCTTATCGCAGCCACATGGCTGCTATCAGCCGCGGTGGCTGCGCCGGTCCTGTGCGGCCTCAACGATGTGCCCGACCGCGATCCAGCCGTGTGCCGCCTCGAGGACCGCGACTACGTAGTCTACTCGTCCATTTGCTCCTTCTTCCTGCCCTGTCCGCTCATGCTACTGCTTTATTGGGCCACATTTCGCAGCCTACGACGCTGGGAGGCAGCCCGGCACACCAAGCTGCACAGCCGCGCTCCGCGCAGACCTAGCGGACCTGGTCCGCCAATGTCGGACAGTGCTCAGGGCCCCTTCCTCCCAAACTGTCTGCCCTCCTCACCCAGCCTCTTGCAGAACCCCAGAGGCTCCAGCCAGCCTGAGTCAGAGCTCTCTCAGAGACCCTGCGGCCTGGAGTGTTTGCTCCCCAAAGCAGAGCTCCCACAAGCGCCAGCACTGCCTTCCCGCAGAAGCGGAGTCAAGATCACAGGAAGGGAGCGCAAGGCAATGAGAGTCCTGCCAGTGGTAGTCGGTGGGTTCCTGCCCTGGGGCAAGAGCTAATAGTAGAGAGGGGTCCCAGGTGGAGGGGTCCCGGGCTCCGAGGAGGGAGGTGTCGATTTTAAGTAATTGTGAAGGGTGGCACGAGGAGTGGGGGGTGGCGGTGTGTGTCCCGGGTGAGGGACCTCAAGTGCAGGAGTCCAGGCTCATACCACCCACCCCTAGGGGCCTTCCTCGTGTGTTGGACGCCTTTCTTCGTGGTGCACATCACGCGGGCGCTTTGTCCGGCTTGTTTCATGCCCCCTCACCTTGTCAGTGCAGTCACCTGGCTAGGCTATGTCAACAGTGCCCTCAACCCCATAATCTACACAGTCTTCAACGCCGAGTTCCGCAGCGTCTTCCGCAAGTCTCTTCGTCTCTGCTGCTGAAAAGGACACTGATGTTCTGAGGTCAAGAAGATCCAAGCCTGTGCGCGGAGTGCGCTGGCGCGTCTAATTAAAGGAATTATTTCTTAACCATTTACGGAAGACTGGGGGTTGGGGAGAAGTAAGGAAAACAGGTTTTGTTTTGTTTTTTTGTTTGTTTGTTTTGCCTAGATGATGGGGCCTGGTTAACTCCTTCTGCCTTTGAGGATGTTGTGGGCTCAGTTCCAGGAGGCTTCTGAAGTCTCTTCTGCCCAGAAAGAGTAGAACTACTTCAGCTGGCTTAGCTTTCCTTCAACACATAAAGTGACCAAGTGTCTAGCTGGGAGAAGAGCTAGGGAATTTCCTGGGGCTCCTGGGTTCCCAGAACCCTGTCCAGGACAGCTTTAGCTCCTTGGAAAGCTAGGGAGGGACGGCTCTCCAGAAGATACACCAAATTCACAAAATTCCACTAAGGTGCCCACTGAGAGGAAGCCCTACGCTCAGACCCACCCAGGCCATCTTTACCCCATGGATGCTCAATGGCAGGGTTCAAGGTGGGATGCAAGCAGCTCCTGCCCTAAAGCCCCTTGGTCAAGGTCTAGCCCAGCAAGAAGAGATAACTCCTGGAAGGGACAGCATACCCTAACATTTCCCCCTCCCTCACCCTGTCATAGGAGAGGTAAGTCAGGACTGCTGAGGGAGGGGGATTTTAGGTTGGGGATCCACATCAACAGCAACAGGCACAAGTTGTTTCTGTTCTCAGTATTAAGAAATGATGAGCTATGAGTTCTACCAGTGTGCAGACCCCTCACATGTTAAAGCGGTCCTTGTTGGATAACCAGCAATTCCCCAGTACTGAGGGCACTATGGCCTCTGTTGATCTCCCGGGAATAGTATTCTAGTGGGTCAATAAAGTCATGGGTTCATATGTGTCCACACCATCATATGTGTTAATGGAATTGGGGATCCCTTAAGTTTTATCCCCAGAGTCCCTAGGATACCAATGTGCCTGGCCTGCACTGACTCTTACTGAAAAGTTCTGCAGATAGAAATGTACTGCTGAAACTGATGTGAGTGGGCAGAAGTCACTGGAAGCTTGAAACAGCTTGGGAAACTGAGCCCTAAGTGCCCATGCCCTGAGACCCTTTGGGTTTCTTCCTTAGAGGAAATGGAAAGAATACATTGAATCAATTCTAGGTGGCATGTGGTAGGAACATCAGGTCTCATTTTAAGATCAGCCAAGTTTAGTACCTAAGTATGAGTCTCCCCCAAGGGTCTCTGCCCCCTTAGCTGCTCCCAGACACAGTGTTGAGGATAGTCCTGGGCGATGAGAAGGGAAAGTGAAGAAAAACAAAGACAACCAGGACTTTGCATGAAGAAGCCCTGGTCACAGACCAAACAGACATTTCAATGGACATCAAACAGGATGCCCTGGGAGATTCATGGGAGTCCTTCAGCTGCTTAAGGCAGAGTGGAGAGGCTATGGAGCCAAACCTTGCTAAGCTGCCTCGGGCTCTCCTGAAACCACTTCCACTAGAGAAAGATAGGTTGGAAGCTCCTTGGCCATGAAGACTTTGAAGGCAGATCAACAAGAGGATTGTGGCAGGTCTATATCCCTACAGCAGGACACAAGGAATGTACAGCTCACACTCAATCAGGACACAGCAGAGACCCTCTGGCCATTTGAATATAAAGTGGGCTTTGTCAGGGTGCCGTCCAGGTAGGGGATGGGGGCTTTATTTACAACCTTATTAACAGATACAACAGATATGTACAAGTGGCATAGGGCACCCCCATGGGTCCAGGGGTGAAAGAGCACCGTGATAGGTCAAGGGCCCTGGGCTGTGGCAGAGTACCCCAGCATTCCTTGGTCTCTGACAGGAGTTCATTTCCAAGGGCATAGTCTCTTTGTTAATAACTTGTCCGGCAAGTTTCCCATGGCCCCACTTCTCAGAAACCCCCATAGTCATCAGAGGGCCTAAGCTTGTGATGGCTTCACAGTAGAGCAGGAAGCAGCCTGGCTCAAACAGCAACTTTTTCTATTACACTTTCTTCAACATGGACTTCATCAGCCTGGACAGTGACAGCTGTTGACTGGCCACAGATATGCTGATGGTCTTTCCAGTCCTGGAAGGAAAGGTACCCATGTTAGCAGAAGGAGCAAAGGGACCCACAGAGCAACACGTCACCTGTGGATGGGCCCTGGACTTCACTGTGAGGTGGCTGTGGACTGTCAGAGTGAAGGAAGATTCCTGTCAGGGCCTGTGTGTCACCCTCTGGGGCCGCTGGAGAGCAGAACAAAAGGAATGAGCTTATATAAGGAGACTGAACATGGTCATGCATCCATGTATTTCTGCTGTTGGTAGATTTTTTTTTTTTTTTTTTTTTTTTTTTTTGGAGACAGGATCTCGCTATTATGAGGCTCTGGCTTTCCTGGAATTCACTACACAGAGCAAGTTAGTCTCAAACTCAGCGATCTTCCTGCCTCTGCCTCCTGAGTGCTGGGATTAAAGGTGTGCGCCACCACACCCTGCTGCTGTTAGAATTTAAATGACAAGTTGGACACAGTAGTTCACGCCTGTAATCCCAGCATGTGGGAGGCTGAGGCATGAGAACAGCCACAAGTGAGACCAGCCTAGGCTAACAATATAAACAAAGAAATAAATATATTTATATGTGATATTGTCATCCATAGTGGTATTCATAACTGTGACAATGACACAGAGGGAGAGAGAGAGACAGAGATGCCTAGGAAAGCAGAAACAAGCATATCCTGAAAGTGAGGGGTTACCTCAGAAAAAGCCCCAAGTGATAAAATCCACATAGCTGTAGCAATGTGGGTCAGCAAACTGTGTGCATCAGACCCAGACAAACACCAGACCCTGGCAGCCACCTACAAAACCAGACTCTGTTCCCCATAACTGGTATGAACTGGCATGGTGCCTTGGAGCAATGGACCCAGGGAATTCTAGATGCTTTCTTCTGTGAGGTGAACAAATAAGTTCCCCATAGATGAGGAAGCTCAATGCCCATGACAGTGTCTACCCTAAGCAGCAAGCAAGCCTCCATCTAGGTCTTTTAGCAAAACTGCCAATATCCAAGACTGATTCTTTGTTGTTGTTTTAGTGTTTTGAGACACAGTGTCTCTGTGTAACAGCTTTGGCTGTCCTGGAACATGCTTTGTAGACCAGGCTGACCTAGAACTCAGAGATCTGCTTGCCTAAAGGTATGTACCACCGCCACCCAGCAAGACTGATTCTTGAAACCTCAAATTCTGAATAAAAAACAAAAATAAAACAAATATAAACTATTCTATCTTAAACTCATTGTTTGAAAAGCCAGAATTAGCCTGGTGGTGGTGGCTCATGTCTTTAATCCCAGCGCTTGGGAGGCAGAGGCAGGTGAATCTCTGTGAGTTGTAGTCCAGTCTGGTCTACAGAGAGAATTCCAGGACAGTAAGGGCTATACAAAAAAAGAAATTTCTCAAAAAAAAAAAAAAAAAAAAAAAAAAAAAAAAAGGGAGAGGCTGGAGAGATGCCTAAATGGTTAAGAGTACTTGTTGTTCTTCTAGAAGACCCAAGTTCAATTTCAAGTACCTATACTGGGTATAGCTGCTTGTTATTCCATTTCCAAAGGATTCAAGACTTTCTTATGGTCTCTGTGGGTACCACTTACACACCCCCACGTACACACTCCAATACGATAGCAGTTTGGAGGCAGAGGCAGGCTGAGCTATGAATATGAGGTCAGCTTGGCCAGGGCTACACAGTTGCTGGAGAGATGGTTGGTGTGGTGATGGTGTTGTGAAACAGTGAGGACCAGAGTTTGGATCACAGCATCTGTGTAACAACCCAGGTATCCTTATACATCTGCAACCTCAGTTTCATGGGAAGTAAAGGCTGGAGGATAGCTGGGCTTGCTGGCTTCCAGTTAACCAAGGAAAAGTGCAGGGAAAGGCCCTGTCTGAAAAGAATAGGTAGAGAGTAAAGGAAGACAGGCCCTCTGGTCTCTCAACATGCACCAGCACACATATGTGCATACTCATAGATACACATACAACAAACAATAAACTTTTTGTTGCCTTTAAAAAAAAAAAACAAGACTTCTCTATGTATGTAGCCTTGGCTGGCCTGGGACTTACTATGTTCAAAGCCTTACCAGGCTGGCTTTGAACTCATAGAGATCTATTTCCTAAGTGCTGGGATTAAAAGTGGACGCCACCATACCTGGCACCAACATCATATACTTTTATTTTTTATTATTTTTAAATTTTTTTGTTTGTTTGCTTTTTGTTTTTCGAGACAGGATTTCTCTATATTGCTTTGGAGCCTGTCATGGAAATGTAGACCAGGTTGCCCTCAAACTCACAGAGATCCTCCTGCCTCTGTCTACCGAGTGCGGGATTAAAGGTGTGCGCCACCAACACCCAGCTATAATGGAAATTTTTAATCATTGTTTTAAAAGTATATGTAGCGGGAAACAGACACACCACATTCTAGTTCACGGAGACAGGTCCTATTGTGTGGGCAATGTGCAGATGTATGTGCTGAGGGTGCAAGCTTCTCCTAACCCTCTCAGCTGGTGGCTTCAGGTGCATCCTGTGGCTCCTGAAGGTGCCTGCATAGTTTCTGTACACAATCTGCAGATTTACACACGTTCTTTCCTGTATATGCCAAGCTCAATATAACTCAAACTTCAAAATTAACATGCTTTCCGAAAGTTAAGATGTCACACTGGGAATGGTGGTGAAAGCCTATGACCTCAGCACTTAGGATACCATGACAAACAGGAACACAAGTTAAAGGCCAGCCTGGGACACATAGGAAACACTGTATCAAAAAAGAAAAAAACAGCCTGCCATAGCAGCATATACCTTTAATCTCAGCACTGCAGAGGCAGAGGCAGGTGGATCTCTGTGAGTTTGAAGCCAACCTGATCTACATAGCGAGTTCCAGGGCAGCCAAGGCTACACAGAGAAACCCTGTCTTGAACCCCCCCCCCTCAAGGAAAAAAAAAAAAAAAGATTTATTCATCATTTTTATTTTATGTATATGGGTATTTTCCCTGAACATATGTCTGTGTACTGTTTGTGCGTTGTGTTCATGGAGGGCAGAGGGCAGAGGAGGGTGTCAGATCCCTGGTACTGGAGTTAGGATGGTTGTGAGCCATCATATGGGTGCTTCCAATTGAACTCAGGTCTTCTGCAAGAACAGAAGTGTTTTTAACCACCGAACCATCTCTCCAGTCCCCTATATTCATTTTATAGCAATCCAAATGAAGAAGTTGCACAGGCCTTTATCCCAGCACTTGGGAGGCAGAGGCAGGTGGATTTCTGAGTTTGAGACCAGCCTGGTATAGAGAATGAGTTCCAGGACAGCCAGGGCTACACAGAGAAATGCTGTCCCACCCAAAACAAACAAACAAAGCAAAAAACAAAAACAAAAAGAAAGAAAGCTGGAGTGTTTGTCTTTATTGATGAGGACATCAAAAGAGGGCTGAAATCCCAGCATTTGGAAGCCAGAAACAAGTGGATCTCTGTGGGTTCCAGGGACAGTCTAAAAAGCAAGTTCCAGGACTTGCTGGTATGCAGAAAAACCCTGTGTATGTGTGTGTTGGGGGAGGGGGGGTCAGGGGGTTGCTGACTTAGCAATGTGGCTCCAAAAAATAGAATCTCTCATCTAGATAGTTCTAGAATCAAAACCCTGCACGAGACAAGGTCTCTATTAAGCCTGTGCCAACACTTGAGGAAGTTTGTTGGTAACCTGTGTGCTATGATCTCTCTCTCCCAGTGGCCCTGGCTCATGTCCCAGCACCCCCAAGTAACAGTGGAACAACTTGGCTGAACTTTTCTCAGTGTAAAAGCTTGTTAGTAGAGTTTAGGAGGCAAAATTGTAATTTTGCTCCCCAGATCTCTGGCACCTTGGAGACAAGGGCAGCTGCAGAGATGACCAGAGAACACAGGCCGTATTGTCTCTTTAAACCCTAGAGGCAATGGCTCCTGTGTGCTCACCAGGAATCCACCAGGGTGAGGACATCACTCCTTCCTTGTGCCATGAGAAGCTCTCTGAGATACTTTTGGACCTCAGGCTGGGGGAAATGTCCACTTCATAAGCTTCCCTTTATGGCTATCTTCCCATATCCATTCTGTTGTTAGCCTGTCAGGTTTTGGCAAGCCGCAAAGCCATGGGTCCTTGTGGGAGATTCTGTCATCAGACCACCTTGAACCTGCAGTGGCTACTGAGCATGTGAGTCAGTCTGCTTCCCTAGTCACACACCTAGACCCACCCAAGGGTTCAAGACTATTACTCAGAACCCGTGCCATGGACTCCAGGTGACTGAGACACCCTCCTCATCCCTGAGGACAAGTTGGTTCCTTCTGTTTATGTTCTAGAGTGTGAAATTGAGGGCCCCAGCTTCCTGCCATTCTGAGCGTTGGGTCAGAGATTACAGGAGTCCCTTGCCCAGCCTGGATGCCAGCATCTCGTCCTCCTCACAGCAGCCCCAGATAATAAAAATGAGACTGAGTCAAAGAGCACACACTGCTTTTGAAGCATGGCCATTCCTTAGAAAGACACACGAAGGACAAGAACACTGTTGCAGCTGTATAGATGAGACAGTGCAGGCTCAGGCCCCCAGCAGGTTGAGAGCCACTCTAACATGCCCATCTACTCTTAAATATCACAGACAAGACCCATTTGCTCCACAGTGGAACTCAAGGTTCCCACATCTTCAAAAGGTGCACTAGGCAAAAAAAGAAGTGTCTAAGTCAGTAGAGCACAAAAGACAGAAATCACCACTCGGAGAGAGGAGAGGCCAGAATGGTGGCCAGAGTGCCACACGCTCCATGGCACTTTCTAGGATAACCATGAGCTGATAACTGGAAAAATAATGAGGTTACTAACTGTTCCAAAGTGCTTTTGGTAAGAAGTGTTAGGCATCCGATGTCCTAAGTATTTGACTGACAGTCCACGGGCCATCTGTGCCCTGTGATAACTAGGAATGCAGCCTGACACAAACCATAAACTTATTTAAAACATCATGAAAATTTTTTTGCATCACTCCCATTTTGGTAACTTGATTATATAGTTCTTGAGTGCGCACTTTGTAGTTGAAAATGTCATGTCCCAATTAAAAAAAAAAAAATTAGGTATACAAAAACCCCTCTTTAATGCCTAAAATCTAAGCACTAGAGTAAAGGAGGCAACAGGATCAGGAGTTCAAGGTCATCTTAGGCTACATGAAACCCTGTCTAAAAAAAAAAAAAAAAAAAAAAAAAAAAAAAGAGGGCTGGGGGCTGGAGGTGTGGTTCAAGTGATAGAGTGCCTGCCTAGTTTAAGCTCATTCTTGACTACATATGGTGTTCTAGGCCAGCCTGAAATTCAGGCTGTCTCAAAGAAAAAAAAGGAAAAGCCCTCCAAGATAATATAATCAAAGACACTGTGGACACATTCTTACAATGCTCTGGGAGGCCTGCTGCACTACAACATGGTGAGAGGCTCTCAGAAATGGAGACCCTATCAGTGGAGCAGGTCTTACCATGGGCACACAGATACACAAGTGCCTGCTCACCGCACAAATGCAGCTGGGAGCCTGCAGAAAGAGGAAGGTATAGTCCCAGACCCAACAAGGTGTATGGATGGGTGAGGGAGGGTATGGGGACTCTGAAGAGACTCTGTCCTTTTTCAGAAAATCCAGCAGGTAGCTCCAGGCAAGCCACTGCCCTGGACACTCTAGACAGATGACAGCCCTGAAGCCAGCAATCTGGCCCATAGGTACTTGGAGTGAGTCCACCTGTCAGGGCATTGTACAGGACATTGGACAGAAGGAAAAGGCTGAGATAATGTAGGCATGTAAGTAAGCAGGTACAGTACCTTGCGTTGGCAGAATGTGGAGCAGTAGTTAACCTTGTGGCAGCCGGTACACTCACTCATGGCCTCCCGGCCACAGTTGACACATGACTGCTGCAAGAAGGGACAAACCAATATCAGTGTCACAGCAGGTGCTAGTCTCCATGGCAGCTACCAAGACTAAAAGAAACACTAGGCACACCCTCATGGGACATGTCCCTCTCCATATTGTTCAGTTGTATAGAACTGGCCTCCTCCCTTTATCTGAGTTTTCCCTGTACCATGTACCAGAGCATCGGTGTCTAAGCTCCAAGGAGATTGTCTTGCAGCCATGTGGGTATAGAAAGCCTCATTTGAGGACGTTCTCAACCCTTGGGCACACTTCGTGAGTGCTTGAGGACCAGTCTACAAACATGCAGCCGAGCCAACGTTGAGCATGTCAGGGTCTCTCTGGGCTCCCTCGAGTGTATCAACTAAGGTATGGAGTTTGGATCCTAGCATCCCCAGTGGTGGCCCAGGCTTCCTCCATACTGACATTCAGAGTCATTTCATTAAAACAATACTAATTGCCCATTGTTTGATATATATATTTTTAAAGCTACATTAGTGGGGGACAGCTACTAAACTGAGGTACTGAACACAACCTCCCAGACAGCCCTGAGCACAAAAATGAGAACGGCAGTGACAAAGAAACTCAGTGCAGAGCTGGCAGTTGCGTTCAGAGTGATGACAAAGGGGTTATGATTGACACACTCATGGAGGACAGCCTGTGACCGTCACAGGGACCCTTTGAACTAATTCTGCAGCATTTCTGAAATAATGGAAGATGACCCCCAAGATCAGTTTGCTTCCTCAGAAACAACCTCCCGCCAGGCCAGGAGAAGTACACATACACCCCAGTGATACATACCTGTTTTGCCAGAGTGACCTGGAAAAGCCCCTTCCCAGAAAGCTATGGAAAGCCTTAGAACCAGTGAGTGGCTTTCCATGAATGACCTCAGCAGAAAAGGACCATCACAGTGATCTTCAGTAGAGGCCACAATACTGCCTCTGGGGCATGTGGTCCAAGAGCAGGCCCACATATGAGGCTGTAGTACGTATCTAGGGCATCATGGCCCCAGCGGCATGGATACCAACTGCCAACAGGCAGGGAGTTCTTGGCCTCTGCCTCAGAAAGAATGAGTACCTAGGCTCCGTGTCCACTGGCACAGCACCCAGGCCAGCTCCAGTGTCACTTACAATATGGCAGGAATATAAATAATGAGCAGCTATGCCACCAATGGCTCTAGGCACCACTCATTTCTAAATTCTACAGATTGCACATCACAAGTAACTGAGCAATTTCTAACAAAAGATCCAAACAAAATGAAAAGACTACCTATGAAATGCTCACTAATTCTGAATCATTCAAGGAATAATATCAATAATGTATTTGCCATTGGTTCTGCAAATTAAGTCTGACTTGAACGCAGGAGCTGCACATGTGTGGGGTGGTTCAATGCCTCGTCCCTAAACACAACTATTTGTAGCTAGCCTGGAACTCACTTCACAGACCAGGCTTGCCTCAAACTCGGAAAGCCACCTGTCTCTTTGTTCTCGACTTCTTTGAAGGCTTTCAGTTTTTTATTACATTTATTTTTATGTGTGTGTCTGAGCATGTGGAGGTCAGAACAACTCACAGGAGTTGGTTCTCTCCTTCCACCTTGTGGGTCTCAGGGATCAAACTCAGGTCAGACTTGGCAGCAAGCACCTGTGTTAACCTTACTAGCTACTTTACCTCTTTTAAAAAGTAAGTAATTCCAGTCCATTTTCAGTGTGAGATGCATTGGGCTCAGCAGATAAGCAGGAGGCACTAGGACCCTGTCATCCCTAGCTGGCAGCTGCTGCCCGACTGTCTAGGTTCTCAGTTCATCCTAGGCTTAAAAAGTCACAAGCAGTCTGCTATGGGACTGAGTCCATGGATCATAAAGGAGGGAATCTTGAACCCCAGGACTTATACTAGATAAGGCTTTTTTTTTTTTTTTTTTTTTTTTTAAGACAGGGTTTCCTGTGTAACAGCTCTAGCTGTCCTGGAACTCTATTTGTCTATTTGTAGACCAGGCTGGCCTCAAACTCACTGAGATCCACCTGCCTCTGCCTCCCAAGTGCTGAGACTAATGGTATGCACCACCACAACCACCTAGCTGGGGAGCAACTAGGCAATTTAGAGGGAAGCAACACCAGACACTAGAAAGAGTGTATCTCCACGGAGGGCCCAGCTAATGATTAGTTCAGGGTGTAGTGGTATCCTGCTGCCTGGCAATGCAGTGATAGCACCTAGCTTAATCCATCCTTTGACTGACCAGATACCTGTCATGTCCCTCTCCCATCCTCCAAAGTGAACTTTGTTTGGGAATTTCCCAAGAAGACAAAGGTCTAGGAAAAACTTGGTTCAGGGAAACCTGGAAACCTGTGGTACCTATTAGTTGAGTCTTTGCACATGGCACTGTCCTTTTAGAAGTCTCATTCAAGTTGCTCTCAGCATATCGTAATCAACTAGCTAAAGTGTAAATATAGAGAAAAATAAAAATGCCCTGGGCATAGGGACAGGTATTTCAGTTCCTTGAAGCTGAGGTCCCCTGCAGCCGAAATGGCTAAACTCATTATTAAAATATCTCTGCGTTTTCTTTCCCACAGACCTGTGTGAAGTCACACCCACAGAGACATCCACATTATCAGGAGCAGAGAAATGCAATCAGAACTTATTTGTTTCTCACACCTTGATCCCAAGGTCTTACAACTAAGATATAGATGATGGCCCAGAGAAAAAAGACACTTCCCTCCAGTGCAAGTCTCCGCAAACCTCATGCACCCCTCGGATCTCTGACCAGCCCTGCTTCTGCTTAGACCCTCAGATATATCTGCTCACAGCACCCCAGTGCAGCACCCCATCTCACCTCTCCTGCTTGTGAACGACCCCTCACCATGGGACAAGCTGCAGGTAACATGGTGAATCTCAGGAGGAGCACTTCCAATTGTCCTCAGAGGACACAGATAGGATGCTGCACCCCCCACCCCCACCAGCTTCAGAAGTGCAGTATGCGTCAGACCGGGGTAGAGTACACTCTTCCTTTCAGACACATGCAGGCAGGATTCCAAAGGCTCCTTGTCCAGCACCATGGCCCATTCCTTTAAGGCAGCAGCTCTACTTCTGCAGGCTTGGCCTCCACAGGTTACACAGAGGATGAGAGGGAAGCAGTGGCTGGCACCTGGGCATTGGAAGGACCTGCCAGAGCCTGGCCTACATGTATGCCTGAAGCCTGGGAACCGAGAGCAGGACAGCTGCATGCAGGCTGCAGGCTCTAACGGATGGGTGAATGGGCCAGTGGACACTCATCCTGAATGGGTAGAAGCCTAGAGGTTGTTCCTACAGTGTTGGTCATGCACATGCCCTCTCAGCACCACTGATAGGGCATGTTCCAAGGAGCAGGGGCCCAACAAGTGAAGCAACAGTCACAGAATAGGAGACTGTTCCTAGACAAAGCAACTGAGATAAGAGGGCAGCCTCAAATCCACAAGTTTATCAGAAAGCAGGACTGCCAGCAGGCACAGACCAAGGGGTTGGATTAAGAGCATTTAATTGACGGCAAGGGCAAGTGAAAGCACCATGTATTTCTCTCCCCAGCTGCTGCCTACTAGATACCAAATTGAAACCACTGGCAAAGACCATGGCTGGCTGAGCTGAACTTGCTATGTAGCCCTGGCTTGCCTTTAACTCATTCCCTGTTGGGATTAAATGTGTGCACCACCACCACACCTAGCCTTTTGTCTGTGCTGGTCTATCCCCTGGGCAGGTATACGCATTAATTGTCTCACTACCTAGTTAGTCCCTATGGACAGCTCCTTCCTGAGGCCGAGGCCAACATTTCCAGGCTGTCCCACTGCTGTACAGCCAGGTCCCTTCAGGGACAGGAGCTTCTTGGGGACTCAGGGGTGAGCAATGGCATCTCTGGTGGGCAGCTAGGAAGACAGTAGTGGAGGGCCCTGCTCCTACTCTGGGACTGTCTACTCAAGTGAATATTAAGTTCATTCTGTACAAGGCAAGAACAGCCCTCCCTCGTCGGAGTGAGCAGACGGGCCTTCACCGGGGCCACTCTTGTACTTGTACCTATGAACTGCTCAGCAAGTGGGCAAGGGCTCTTGGATGCAGTGGTTGATATAACACCCTGCAGGTACTCAGCCAGCTTGGCTTCTGTTGGATGCAGTGCCCTCAACAGGCAAGGGCATCTGCTTTTCTGCCTGTTTAGTCTCTGTAGATCTAATTACAGACACACGCATGCAAATTTCTCATACACACATACACACAAAATCCTGGAATGACTTGCTTCAGCTAGACTAAATTTGATTTCTTTTAAAATTCCGAATAAAATGTGAAAACTGCCAGCCTTAGGACCCCTCCAGCTGTGTTAACTCTGCATTCTCCCCTGAGAGCCCCTCAGGGAGGCTTTTCAGCTTGTCCTAGTCCATGTGCCCCAAGTTGAAAGGCTTCCAACATTGGTATTTCCACTCAAGCACATTGTTTGACCTCTGAACCTCAGTTTCCTACCTTGTAATCCAGCAGACTATTTGCAAATAAGACTTTGATGGCATGAGAATGTTTTTTCAGAGAGTATAGGCTCAAGGAATGCAAACTCATTTTAATGCCACTTGGTGTGTTTAGGTGTTAAGGTTTCAGCCAATCTTTCAAGAAAATTCACATTTAGCTGGGCGGTGGTGGGCCAAGTACTCAGGAGGTAGAGGCAGAGGCAGAGGCAGGCAGATCTCTGAGTTCGTGGCCAGACTGGTCTACAGAGCATGGCACCTCACAACTGTCTGTAACTCTAAAATCTGACACCTTCTCACAGACATGCATGCAGGTAAAAACACCAATGCCAAAAAAACAAAAAAAAAAAAACCAAAAAAAACAAAACAAAACATAGAAAATCTTCAGCTATTTGAGAATCACACATATTTCTAAGTGACCTAGATTAAGTGTAGAAGCTGACCCATATTAAGCTGTCAACTAGTTTCCAGCAGATCTCTGAGTGGTGAGAGGAAACTCTTTTCCATAATTGCTGCTGGAATAACTGGAGAAAGACAAGCCTCAAAACCCACAAGTGCTGTGTTGAGGAACAGAAACAAGACATGAAGGAGGCACACTGCTCGGCCTCTGTGCTGGTGTGCAGCATCACAGGTCAGTACTGACCTCAGACAACAAAAATCAGAACCAGTGTAAGAACGCCGGCCAGGATGGCACTGGGAGCCACTGGGGTGGCCATCCTCAGTGTGATAACGTTTGCCAAAGCTCATGGACCCTTTGTACTGTGGTTGAATTTTACCTTCATTTAAAAACAAAAATCCAAAGCACACAGAAAATGTTAATTGTCATTTATCTTTGGGAAACCGATGTATGGGATACATCAGACCCTCGTGGTAGAGGAAGCTGCAGGGAAACATAGTAGTCACAAGGTCACACCACCCTCCATGGTCAACAGGAGGCAGGGCATTGCAACAGATGGAAACTGTGTGTACTTATGCATCAAAGCCACACCAAATGACACTTTTCCAAAGTTCAAATATGAGACATGTCTTACTACTGAATGTAGAAACATCTATGAATAGCATGCATTCAAAATAATGGCTGGCATATATAAAAATGTCTTCCCTGGTGAAATGTGCCAATCTTACACAAACTGTTTTATTAGTGTCTGCTACCTTCATTTGCTATTATTTTTCAGATCTCCCTTGTCAGGGACAGTGGGGTAGTGATGTTGGTGAACCAGCACAGGAGTCATGTAATCCCAGGGACAGGGGAGGATAATGGAAACAGCTACAGGTCTGAGCTCACATTACCTCTTTCCGTTCTGCATCAACCTGCATTCTCGCCTGTGTCACAGCAGCCTCCCTGCAAGAGCTCGCCTGCTTGGCTTGTTCGAACAGTGTCTTCAGCTGCTGGGCTGTGCTGAGCAAGGAGTTGACCATCTCTTCCAGGTACAGCCAGCTCCGCTGTTCTGACATCTCCAGCCCACTGACCACGGTGGGAGAGACAGCTTTGGTGGGGGTGGAGGGTGGCACAGCCAGGGCAGGAAGGGATGTCAGGACTAGAATGTAGAATACGAGAGGAACAAGGGGTTAGTGACTTCCAGCTTCATTCCAGCCTCCGGTGTAAGGACAGGCAGGCAGCGAGGGACACACTGGTGACGAAAAAAGTGAAGAGAAAGAGGAAAGGGCCCTGTCTCTACTCCTTGTTCACATCCCCACATGCCTAACGTTGTCAGCCAAAAGCCCTCCCCAAGGGCCAGTCACTTCCAATATGAGACCTAGAGCAAGCAAGACACTCAGGAGGGTTAGCCAGGAAACATGGAAGGAAACAGCCACAGGACAAGCACTCGAAGGACAGGGAAAGGAGACTCAACCACCACCACATACAGGAAAAGCAAGGGTCACCTGGAAGGTCTCTCTGGAGTCTTCAGTCAATATGGGGGTTAATAAGGACAGTGGGAGTCACGATTTTCATGACTGGACAGAAAGCCACCAAGACAGAGAGAAGGGACCAGAGCGTACTGTGATTTTATACTCACTAGACACCGTGAACTCCCCCTGCAGGTAGGCCTAGAATATAGACATGTGTGTACATGCAAAGTGCTTTCTACCTTAGTATACCTAGTAGACACACTCTTAAGAACCATGAATACCAACATGACATGGCTTCTGTGGGTTGCTGTTTCTACTGCACAAAGCTTCTTTCCAGTCCTCACTGTGAACTGTATAAGGCACACAGTCATCACAAAGCCAGCACTCAACAGTTCCAGGCCACGGTGACTTAGGCCTGGTGCACCTTTGGCTTCTGAAAGGTAAGAGGAATGCAAAACTTGGCATGAGGGCTGGTAAGATTGCTCAGTGAGTAAAGCACTTGCACACAAGCACAAGAACCTGAGCTCAAATCCTAGGAACTCTGTAGAGGCTAGATGTGATAGTGTACACCTGCAACCCCAGCATGCCTAAGTCGGGATGTGAGGTTAAGGCAGGAGATTCCACCCTGGAGTGTAAGCTATCCTGGCATAGGTAGTGGGAAAACAAGAGACCTTGTGTCAAATAAGGTGGAAGATGAGGACTGATACCCAAGGCTGGTCTCTGACCTCCACATGCACATGTTACAGTGCACCAAGACATCATATGTCCAAACTCACATACATACAACTCCAGCACTCAGGAGGCAGGTGGATCTGTGAGTTTGAAGCCAGCAAGTTCAGACCATGCTAGCCAGAGCTATCCAGACCCTATCTCAAAGTAACAACAAGAAGGAACACACACACACACACACACACACACACACACACGCACGCACGCGCGCGCACACACACACACAGAGAGAGAGAGAGAGAGAGAGAGAGAGAGAGAGAGAGAGAGAGAGAGAGAGAGAACAAAAGAAAGAGAGAAATGAAAACTTGGGATGATCCTCAAGTGTCTGGTAAGGCAGAAAGTAAGAAAGTCTCTGTGATGAGGGGCAGGTGAACACGGGCCACCTATGGGCTCCTGCTGCCTGCTACAGGACTCCAAGTCAGGGCATATGAGCAGCAATCAGAAGGGCAGCAGTCATGACCCACAGGTTAAATCAGGAAGCCCCATGTCCAACCCTGTGCAAAGTGTGGTGAGGCACTGTAGACCTTTGTGGACTCAGGAACTCCCATGTGACTTCCCGGTCCTCACTCAGGTGTCATGGTTACACTCAGCAAGAAGAGGACAGGGCTGGGAAGACACAGCAGCCCCTATCCCAGGTCTGCACCACCACTGACAAAGACACAACAGCCGGTGCCACAAGAGCCACAGTACCAGGGTAAGGGACATTCTACATGACAGCTGTTGGTAACCTCCAACAAGGTAGGTGATACGCCAAGTGTTAAAGGGACAAAATTCAGGAAGCAAGTCACTGGGGACCACCAGTCACCAGCTCATGGGTGACTAGTAAATGCCCACTTACTTCATTCTTGAGTTTCAGACAGGTGCTTCAATTAAAGGCATGGCCTCCCACAGGTTGGCCATACCATCTTGTGAAAACGCTGTGTGGGCGTTGGTACACACCCTTGGTTCAAGCATTTGGGAGACAGAGGCAGGCAGATCTCTGTGAGTTTGAAGTCAGCCTGATCTACAGAATGAGTTCCAAGACAGGTTTGAAAACGACAGAGAAACTGCCTCAAAACATTACATCAAAAATATTTAAGAGGATAAAGTTCTTTGGGTTTTATTTCTAACTTTTTTGAATATTTGACTTCATTTTCAATTTTTTTGTTTTGTTTTTGGTTTTTCTGAGACAGGGTTTTTCTGTGTAGCCTTGGCTGTCCTAGAACTTGCTCTGTGGACGGACGAGACTGGCCTCAAACTCATAGAGATCTGCTTGCCTTTGCCTCCTGAGTGCCAGGATTAAAGGCATGTGCCATTACCACCCAGCCAAAACATTATTTTAATGTTATAAAAAGCCTGTGGTTTCCTGCAAGCTGAGTGCCGAGATGAGCAGGAAAGGACACAGTCTACCCAGGGCAGGACAGAGTCCAGCCTGCAGCAGAGGCATTTGAGGAGACTGAAACCAGTTGGAAGAAGTGGAATGTGTCTTAAAGGATAGAGGAGCTCAGATACACAAAAGGGAAGATAATGCAAGCCAGGCACATGCCTGCCTGGTGGCACACTCCATTAATTCCAGCACTCAGGAGGCAGAGGCAGGTGTATATCTGTGAGTTCAAGGCCAGCCTGGTCTGCAAATCCTACTAGTGTCAGGATGGCCAGGGCTGTTACACAGAAAAACTGTCTGGGGAGGTGGGGTGGAGAGAAAGATAATGAAGCAAGCAAGCAAGAGCGGGGAAGGAATTTTATTTTATTTTAGTTTTAGCTCTTAATAGACAAGTTTTTCATGCTGGAGAACATGATGAGTATAAAAAACAAATGTTCATCAGCAGGAGACAATTCAAGTAATATTTTATCCATAAAATGTACCTTTAAAAAGTACACTGACATAAAATTTGCCCAAAATGTGCTGCTAAGTGAAAACCCAAGGTCAAGCTGCCCACACAGAGAGGCCATCTCTGCTCTCAGCTAAAAGAACGGAACACAGATACTGGCACAGTTCCTGTGGTGGTTTGAAAGAACATGGCTCCCAAATAGGTGGTGTGGCCTTATTTGAGTGGGTATGGTCTTGTTGGAGGAAGTGCGTCACTGTGGAGGCGGGCTTTGAGGTCTCATATATGCTCAAGCCACACCCACTGAGACAGTTCACTTCCTGTTGCCTTTGAATGGAGATTTAAGGACTCTCAGCTCCAGCACCATGTCTTCCTGAATGCTGCCTTGCTTCCCACCATGACAATAATGGACTAAACCTCTGAACTGTAAGTGACCCACCCCAATTACATGTTTCCCTTATAAGAATCATCATGTCTCTTCACAGCAATAGAAACCCTAAATAAGACAGTCCCTCACATCAGATATCAGCTTGATCCAATTCCATGGTTTGTCAAGGCAAGGAGACAGCCTGCTCACACATTTCTGCTGGGATGGACATGACAAGAGCAACATCAGGTCATTTCAGACAATATGGAAGTAGTCTGATACAAACAAAAGAAGCCTTACACATACATGAACAGCATGGTTGTGTCCAATAAAACTTTATTTACAAACAGGCAGAAGCCTGGACCTTGCCAGCCCTAACCCAGCACTTCAAGAGAAAAAATGAACACATCAGCACAAGCCCTACTTCACTCACAGGAAGCATTTCTGAGGCTGGGGCATGGATCAGAGGTAGAGCATTTGCCTAGCATGTATGAAACCCTGGGTTCCATCTGTAGCATGACAAAGAATAAAAATCAGACCAAACCACAATTCTGAGGACAACAGCTTGCACACACATGGATTCTTTTATACTCACCAATTTTGGGATGTGATGTTGGCAATGCAGCTTCTGGAAACGGGGCAATCTGGCAGCTGTCCTGATAACCAGGGTAGTGCGGTTCAGGGTGGCCAACCCTGCAGGGGGGCTGCACACCTGCCTCTTGCACTGTTAGTGAGAGAGAGGCAGACATCCTCAGCACCTTGCCATTACCACACCAGGTTTAATTCCAGGTGCCTATAACTGCACACTCAATACAGAGATACTATCCCTGTGCACTTTGAGATAATGGCATATTGGGAATTAATTGGATGAAACAAAAGATAACATCATGCACTTTGCTAACAAGACTCTTAAACTATTTAAAACTACACATGACTGGAATTGTTTCTAGTGGCTGGCATCAGCTTAAAGCAACATCAACAAATGCTACCAGCAGGGTGTTGGTGGCGCACGCCTTTAATCCCAGCACTTGGGATGCAGAAGCAGTGGATCTCTGTGAGTTTGGGTCCAGCCTGGTCTACAGAGCTAGTTCCAGAACAGGCTCCAAAGCAAAAAAACCAAACCAAACCAAAACAAAAATAAAAACAAACAAACAAACCCCCAAAAACCAGCTCTGTGTGTTGGTCACAGTGCTATTCTCCATTACCCACCAATCTCCCACCAAGGGCTGTGTTGAGAAGCCAGGTGACAGGGACTGCAACAGGCATGGGGACGTATCAGGCAGATACTGAGACAACTTACCTGTGGCTCCTGCAAAGACATCACCTTGGGCCGGGCTCTCAGAGATGACAGCAGTGGCCTCTACAGTGGATGCTCGGTCAAAGGTTAGTGCTCCAGAGGTAGTGATCTGTCCTGAGGGTGTCACAGTGACTGGGAAGGCAAAAGGCATTTTACTCATGTCCAGGCCACGCAACTGGGCCTGAAGCATGCACTGCTCTTTGCCAAGGTGCAAGCTTCAGAAAGATCCCAGAAACTAGGCCAAAGCAGACACAGTGACATACCCCCCCACACGTGGTATGACACCAGGAAGCCCGTGACATTGGCACCTAGGGGAGGGCGCCAGACATGGCAGGACTCAGGCCTGTATCCACACTGCCAAGTTTAACTGTGGGGTCAGGGAATAGCACTTCAGCCAAAACCCAAAATGTAAATTAACTTTGAAATACATGGCAGTTTGAATCAAAGAAAGAGATTTTGTCAGACTGTCTCAAATGAGAGTCCCTCCGTTGGGCTAAGGTGGAAAACAGGACCTCAGCAAAGCATTGCTTTGCTAGCACTCACAGGTGGTGGCTGCTGTGGCAGGAAGCAGCGTGATATTCTTGGGGGAATCCTTCTTGACAGGAGTTGTGGGCAGCTCATTTTCTTTCTTACGCCTTTTGTAAGGGACGAAGAGCCTGACTGGGCCACTCTGGGGAGAAAAGTAAAGCTGACCAAGGACAACGTTTGAGGATTGACAGTGCCTGCTTCCCACACTTTATCAAATGAGTCTATTGGTACTGCAGAATGCAGAAGCCCCCTTGAGCCCTCAAAATGGCAGAGAAGACATTTTCAGAAGAAATGCTGCCAAGCAAGAATATGACCTTCACATCTGGAGCTTTAGTTTCTTAGACGGAAGGAAGTGGGACCAAGTAAAGGAGAACAAGGAAAACCACGGCCTGAAATAAAAACCATCCGCAGAGAGGAGAGTCACTCAGAGCCATCTGTAGACACAAGGAGCACTGGCAAGTTGGCATGGTACAGGCCTGTAGTCTCAGCAACCAAGAGTCAGAGGCAAGATGATGCCATGAGTTCAAGTCCAGCCTGGATTATAGTGTGAGACCCTATGTCAAAAATAAAAAGCTCAAGCTGGGTAGTGGTGGCACAGGGCTTTAACCCCAGCACTAGGGAGGCAGAAGCAGGTGAATCTCTGTGAGTTCGAGGCCAGCATGGTTCACTGAGTGAGTTCCAGGGCAGCCTACAAAGCTACAGAGAAACCCTGTCTCAAAAACCCAAACCAACCAACCAACCAACCAAACAAATAAATAAATAGCAAGCTCAGGGCAAGGAGTAATGGCACATGCCATTAACCCCAGCATTCAGGAGGTAGAGGCACGTGGATCTCTGTGAGTTCAAGACTATCCTTATCTATATAGTGTGTTCCATGATATCCAAAGCTACATAGTGAGATCCTGCCCTGAAAAAAATAAATACATAAATGAAAATGAATGCTGGGCAGTGGTGGCACACAACTTTAATCCCAGTACTTGGGAGGCTAAGGCAGGCAGATTACTATGCATTTGAGGCCAGCCTGGTCTACAGAAAGTGTTACAGGACAACCAATGCTACAAAGAGCAACTCTGACTAAAGAAACCAAAAGAAATAAAAAAAAAAAAAAAAAAAAAAAACAAAACAAAACTCAGTGGTGGATGACAGGATTTGCCACCAAACCTACCAGGACTGAAAACCTGAGTTTGATCCCTGACTCCCTCCCACATGAATCATTAACTATGACATGCACACAAGACAATCTGGCCAAGGTACTTCTTCAACTGAGATTCACTCTTCTACGTTTGTTAACAAAAATTATCCAGCATATGCCTCCACCTGGTGAGCCCTGTCGTCGTCACAGGTGTGTGTAATTTATGTGGTACCAGGGCTCGAACCCAGAGGCTTTGTGCATGCTGGGAGGACATTCTACCAACTGAGCTAAAGCCCCAACCCTTCCCTCCTCCTTTATGCGGCACTTCCCCTGGCTACGGCTGTTATTTGCTGTTATGTTGTGTGGTCTATGCTTCTTGCTCATCTCCATGTCTTAGTTTAGTTGAGAACCAGACCTTATGGGCGACACACTGTGGCAGCAGTGGGTATTGACAGCCATCATCCCTGGCTTTCTGCTCTCCTGTTTGTTGGAGGCCAGACTGTCTGGCTGAAGTGTCACGTGCAGGGTGTTGTAGTCTCTGAGAATTCAACCTGGGTATGCAATTGCCTCAGATAAAAGTAGGCCTCTGACTGGCTGGTTCTATTGGCTTCTCTGCTAAGCTGTTGTCTACAGTAGGGCTACAGCAGGGTTCGGGAGTCCCTGACAGATCCCTAGGTCAATTATTTGACAGGTCAATCTACAGCTCTTGGAAGGCAACCCTCTGGGGCCTGCTCTCAGTTTGAGCAGGCTTTTCCTGGCTGCTGCTTTTCTTGACTCTCTCTAGCTGATCAACAGCTTCTTTCTCTGATGTGGCTACCAGTCTTCCCACTGCTCCCAGAACATTCTTGGCTTTGGACATTCCTATAATCTCTAAAACATAGTCAGTTCATTAGAGGACCATAGTTCACTATCAGCATGGTAGCCCAGCTGTGTGAAGAGGGGTTAAGGCAGGACCCGTCACAATTTAGAAACTAGCCCTAGAAACAAGCTCAGCTGAAGGTACCAAGCAACAGGCTTAGCCAGCCTGATACAGAGAGCTGAGGTAAGGGTTCTTACCCTAGCACTGGTTGGGAAGTCACTATAACCCACAGCTGTTAGGTGAGCAAGGCTATAGCCTACCCCTCTATGAGGAAACCTATTTCTTGATAGGGAGCTGAGGGAGAAGGACCAATCTTGAGAGGAGCCTCTCTCAACTTGAGCCAGAGAATACCTGGCCTGCCTCTTACAGTTGTTTTTTTCTTTGGACTTGATGGGTCCCTGGGGACAATCTCCAAAGATGTCAAATTGCTGTCTTCCATTTTTCACCACTTACTTCTTTGGGGGGGGGGCGTAGACTAGTGGAGCACCTCACATCCCCTAGTGTAATGGTTCTCAACCTTCCTACTGGAGTTAGGAACTTTCTAACACAGTTCCTCATGTTATGGTAACCAACCATAAAATTATTTCATTGCTACTTCATGACTTAATTTCGCTCATAACAGTGTTATGAGTCATAATGTAAAATATCTGATATGCAGGATACCTGATATGTGACTCCTGTGAGAGGATCATCCAACACTCCCAAAAGGGGCTGTGACCCACAGGTTGAGAACCGCTGCCTTAGTGGAAACTAAAGCTTAAAATCCAACAGAGTCCAGTCTGCTGAGTGGCATTTAAACATTGCAGCTTTGTTCCACATCTTAGAAGCTCTGGGTCTAACCCTAGGTCACAAAGACAGCCCCATGCATTTCCTTCTAAGACGTCACATCTTTTGCTTTCATGTTTAGACCTTTGCTACAACTTGAATTCACTTTTAGCCACAGTGTAGTTTGGGTCAAAGCTCACTCCTTGCCCAGGAACATCCAATGGTTCAGCACTACATGTTGGAAACTTGGGGTTGGCAGCTGGACTCTGATCAGTTCCCAAGAGGTCTCAGGTCCTGCTGACACACTGTACTGATTACCACAGCAACACAGAGCTCTTATCAGCCTATGGCAGGGGCTTGGCGACTTCAGACTCATGTCCTGAAGCTCTTGAAAGACTAATCCCCTCACACTGCTCTGTGACCCCACAGGACCTCTGATAGTCCCATCTACTAATTTTTGTTTTCATGATGTTTACAATTATATTATTTTCATTAACTTTTTTATTGTAGAATCATAGTAAAATTAGATAAATTGGGCATGATGCAAAGCTTTTAATCCCAGCACTCAGGAGGCAAAGCCAGGCAGATCTCTGAGTTTGAGGCCAGCCTGGTCTACATAGTGAGTTCCAGGATAGCCATAGCCAAGGCTACACAGAGTGCATCTCAAAAAAAAAAAAAAAGGCTTAAATATACTTGGTATTTAAAGGCAAGAATATAGCATCTCTCTCTGTGAGTTCAAGACCAGTTCAAGTGCCAGGACAGGCTCCACAGCTACAAAGAGAAACCTTGTCTTGAAAAACCAAAACAAGAATGAGGAGCTATTTCAAGGATATTAAACGATCTATTCACAAGGTAGAGGTTTTTGTTTCTTGGTGTTGGGGACTGAATCTAGGATCCCTCACATGCCAGGTAAGTACTCTATCACTAAGCTACATCCCCACCCTCTTTTAGTTTGGGGGATTAAAAGTATATGCCACCATGGTCTTGTTTATCTTTTAGTTTTTATTTGAAGTGTTCCACTCAGTTCAAACCCAGGCTGGCTTTGAACTCAATCTATAACCCAGGCAGGTCTTGAACTGTCAGTCTTCTTGCTTCAGTCACCCAGTAGCTGCAATTTAAGTTTATGCTACCAGGCCTGGCTGGTCACTATTATGACACAACATTGAAAACACAGGACAGGGTGGCACATGCATGTTCACTATGACCACTTTAATTAAAAGGGGATGCTTTCCCATTTCGGTGTCCTGGACTTCCTACAGTCACCTTCTCCCCAGTGAAGGCAGCAGCCTTCACAGATGAAAGTACCTGAGAGAAGGAGGGACAGAGCTTCCACAGGCAGGAGGCACACAATACCTAGTGACTTACTAGAGTCATGTCATCACAACAGGCAGCACAGGTACAGGAGGCAGCATGGGGGTTCAAAATACCATCCTGAAATATAGAAGGTGCTAGAGGTATTATACAGGTATAAGATTATATAGGTAGAAATTAGGGAGTCACCATACCAGGAGTTGTTCAGTGCTAGATTGCACCCCCAACGCCAAGACAAAAAAATCTGAGCATAGAACACAATCATTTCTGGAAACTTCTTGTCTACACAATGCCCCATTGCCAGTAGGCTTTATTCTCTCACAGTAGGTTTTATTTTCTCACTTACATGCAGGCAAAACATCATATACATAAAACAATGAAACTAAAGGAAAAACATTTCTTCCTTGTAAGGAAAATGGAGCAAAAGGAAGGCAGTGTGGTCAGGTGCTGTCAGTCTGACTTCCTCTGTCTTTATTCTCATGTGTCTGATGTATCCCTTTTCTGTGCCTACTGTGTCCCCATAGCAATGCTCTGAGTCAAGGCCAGCACACACCCAAGAACATCAAGAGGGCAGGTAAACCATTCCGGTCATACAGTGAGTACACGTCATCAGACCCTCTCTGGTGCCGTGTTCTGGGCACTTCTTACTGCTTATCCTAAGGCTCCATGGACCCAGTACATACCTGGATGAGGCACTGCAGGGGTCTGCCTGCATAGCGGATGCTTCTCTTCCAATCCTTGCTGCTGGCTCTTCCTGCCATGGCTTCAAACTCAGTTGGGCTGTACCAGTTTTCTCCCTGCTTGATACACCGACCCCGCCCACCTAGAATGAAGGGGGCTGGTCTTTAGAATTCATCAAGGCCTGCTGCTGGCTTACGTCTTGCTGACACAGGTTCCTCCTACTGCTTTTTTTCTTTCTCTGCACTGCTTGGCTTGATCTCACCTACCCTATGGTCACCCAATAGGGCTGTCGGGCAAGTCATATCAAATCAACCGTCCATGGTCACTACAAGCATCAACTCACTTCAGGAGGTCTCTGTCACCTGAGTTGTCTGAGATGACTGGGGAATATGGTTAAGTTCTGCCTCTCTCCTACTCCCTCCCCCATTTTAGGGACAACTATGACCCTGACCTTGTCCTTAGGCCTGTCCCTGCCTTGTGTCCTCTATGGCCTAGACTCCAGTGGCCAGGGCTGGAAGTCACTCACATATAAATTTCTTCTAACATATTTACACATGGCAGGCTTCCTTGGCCCCAGTTTACTAAGAAGGTCACACAAAAGAACAAAGTCTTAACACGGAATGCTGGTAGGCAAATGCCGCCTCACCTGAGCCAAGCCTGCTCTTGTAGAGCGTGCCACTGATGTTCCGACAGCGTACTGGTAACTCACTGTCATACACTGAAGGGTCCCAGTTGTACTTGGTGCCACCTTTCTCCTGGCCAGGTGCTAGTGGGGTAGGAGGAGACTGAGGACCTGGGCAAAAAGAGAGGCTATGAGGATTAGAGCATAGTGACCCAAACAGCCCAGGATGTTCCATCCCCAAACACAGAGCCCCTCACAGGTATAAAGGAGAGCCCTGAAGGGTACTGCCACCCTTCAACTGTGGGCAGCATTCCTTCTCTGCCTGGAAATAATTTTTGCCTTTTCTACAAACTTCTATTTTGTTTTCAAATTTACCACTAAGGGGAGGAGAAAAAAAAAAAAAAAGCCTGGGGTCAGGTGCTGCGGGTACCTGGGGTGAGAGGTGCTGTTGGGCCCTTCAGCCCAGTGGTCTCCACAATGCTCCCATCTGTGTGTACAACTATTAGCGTGGCTTTCTCAGTGTTCAGGCTGTCCCCGATCTGCAGGGCTGTCCTTCCAGACTAGAAGGAAAGACTCTTGTCAGCTCTAGGATAGCCAGAGGCACATTACTTGACCCAATGGAATGTGGCCCTACTGGAAGACTCTCACCACTTATCAACAAGATAGGATGTTTACCCAAGTCCACACATCCTCTCCACAGACATCCCCAAGGCACACAAGGGCAGAACCAAGAAAAGCACAAAGGCTACTAAGTGTCTGCACACCGTCAAAGCTGAAATATTCATACACACAGCTCCTTTCTGGACACTGAGCAAGTGTGCTTTGTCTAAAGAATGTGCCCACTTTATGAAGGCTTCACATAGAAAGCAGGGTGGTGTGACAGACCCCAAAAAGTCTGGTTATGGACACAGGTGCTATTGAAAGAATCTTGGATGCTAATGCCTACAGGAGTGGACAGGAGGAAAGGACTAATGGACTGTAAGCCTAGGAGAAAGGGGCAGGGAGGTCGAAAGTAGTGACTCTTCCCGTGTCTATGGATCTCAGCATACTGCAAGCAAAGCCAGGCACTGAGAAGCTCCATTAGGTGCTGAGAGCACCCTGAGCTTGGTGGAACACAAGCTGCAAGGCTAGCTGGCATGGAGGATGGCCTGACCACAGCCTATGTGCTCCTCATAGCTCCCTGCCTAGGTTTATACAGCACCTTTCATGTTGGTGACCCAAAGTGAGGACAACATCCTAACTCAAATTGGGTCTCCTGCTTTGCCTAGTCCGGCCCTGAGAGCACAGGGAGGCACATTTCCCACCCACCCGGGCTCCCAGAACAGCAGATGCTCACCCATATCTAAACACTGAGAGGGTCTTGAGAACAAGGACTACCCTGGTGGGCTGTATAAAGTCAAAGGCTCTGAGGACAGTTGCCAGGCACCCTGAGTGACACCTGAGAACAGCTTACCAGGACATGTCCTGATATTGATGCCGCATTTGCCACTGATGTTGTGAAGACGTTATCTGCAGAGGACCCCACATTCGCCACAGTGACCGTGGTCACTTCTACAACAGAGTGGAACAGAACAGAACTTCACACATGGATGAAGGAAGAGCACAAAAGGCAGAGGTCTTGTGAGCTCTGAAGTGCTCCCCATGGGAACAAGCACTCCGCACACATATCTAAACACTTCTGTTGATGTTCTGCTGACATCTCCTCCGGTCCAGTCTAAAGTACTTGCTTTTCCCAGAAAAGGGGGACAATCTACTCTTTCCCACTAAAGCTTTTCACATGCTGCAGAGATATCCACCATAACCTCTCATGCCTATTTCACCACTGGCCTTTCTCCCTTTGCAAAGCAGCAAGTCATAGGCCTGCGACACCACCTTGATGATCAAGACACAGCAAACTCCAGTCCAGCCTCATCCCTCTCCACTGCCATAGCTCAAGGCCATCCTAGTATTGTGTGTCCACTGTCTGAGATCTCCAAGCCATCCTTCCCCAGGAACTCTTCCTCCTGAAAAACATGTCACACTACCACAGCCAGCCACTCCTGCAATTGAACTTAACTCTGTGGGGCAGACAGGACAGGTCTATCAGCAGTAACTTCACAGAGCAGCTCCACAAAGATGTGTCATGTCCCTGAGGCTTCCCAGCATAAATGCCACTAGGTTCTTCTGTATCCTGCAACCTGCAACTATGTATCCTTTGCAGTTGGTCTTCCCAAGCTCTACTATAGGTTCTGTCTGGTACCCAGGAAAGCTTCTGGCATATGGGAAGTACTCAAAGATGCAAATTGGAATCTTGCCAGCCCCATTAACCCAGCCCTGACCAACCTGTACCTCTGTACCTGTTTAGTTCATATCAATTACCAGTCTATATGTGGGCACACCTAATTCATCCTCAACTCTGGTAGCACTGAGCCACCTGTACATTATCTGCCTCCAGAAACTTAGAACAAAAAAGTAGGAATGTTCTGATACATAAATATACAACTAAAATTCTGATACACATACACCCCACAGATGCAATTCTCTAATGTCACCATAGACAATATCTTATTTCTTTCCTGAACTCAGAAAAATATATACAAAAAGGACAAAAACTTCAAGGTCCCAAATCCCACTATCAACCCAAAATTCATGGATGAAAAAAAAGCACTAAAAACTCCGAAAAGAGCTGGTCAGTGGTAGAGCCAGCGTTTGGGACACACAGACGGGTGGATCTCTGAATTTAAGCCTACCTGATCTACAGAATTTCAGGACTGCCAGGGCTACACAGAGAACCCTGTCTTGAAACAAACAAAAAAAAGCTCTAGAAAAGGGACCAGAAATGGCTCAGCAATTAACAGTACTAGCTGCTTTTCCAAAGAACCTGGGTTCCATTCCCAGCACCCACATGATGGCTTACAACTGTCTATATCTCCAAGCACAGGTACACAGATATACATGCAGTCACACATATTAAATGAATAAACTTACTTGTTTGTTTGTTTTGTATAGTCCAGGATCTCCTGGAACTCACTATATAAGCCACACTGGCCTAGAACTAACAGAGATCGGATTGCCTCTGCCTCCTGAATGCTGGGATTAAAGGCTTACACCATTACAGCCCAGCTGAAATTCATTTAAAACAACAAAAGCCAGGTCCAGGAAGGGACCAGAGAGAGATGGTTCAGAAGTTGAATGCATATTGTACTTGCAAAAGACCCAAGTTCGACTCTTATCACCCATGTTGGGTGCTCATAGCCAAGTGTAACTCCATCTCCAGGAAGAATCTGATAACACAGGCACTTGTAATCACATACACATATCCACATACACACATAAAAATATTATCTTAAAAAAAAAAAAGAAAAGAAAAGCTCCAGGAGGCTTCCTTCACTTCCTTAACTGGATCTAGACTTCAGGCAGACAAGAGGAACCAAGGTCTCTCCTCCACCACTGTGCTCCAGTCCTAATTCTCTGAACAAACACCCATAGTTGATGTACCTAAGCTCTGATGTACCCTGAACAGAATCCCAATGCAAACCTGCAAAGCTTCATACTGGAAAACACCTAACAATCTAAAAAGCACTGCAAAATGTGATGAAAAGCTGCCTGCCTTGGAGGACTCTCCTAGGCCCTTGTGCTCAGGTCACACTTGAACTGGCCTTTGGGTCAGACAGGTAGATCTACCAGCAGTAATGCTGCTGACCAAACCTGGAGTCCTGAAGCAGCTTCAGACAGAATTTATATCTGACCCAATCTGTACTATCATCTGCCAGGAAGCAGCAAGAGCGGACAAGGCAGGTAGTAGGTAGGTATTGAGAAAGTTCCAAAACAAAAGGATAAAAAAAAAAAAAAAGGAAAGAGAAGAAAAAAGCACAGAGAGCCACATACAAGGGAACAAATATGTATACAGTGTTGAACCAGGCTAGTGGAGTGCGCAAGATGGGTATACAGGGCATTGTGAGATGCAGGGCAGGGACAGAGCAAGTGTCCAAGGCATTTATGCAGTGCATGGGCAGGTGCAGAGTAGGTTTTCAGGGCATTGTGAGGTGCATGGGCAGGTGTGAAGTGCATGGACAGAGCAGAGCAGGTGTGCAGGACATTGTGAGGTGCACTGGCAGGGCAGGTGCTGGGCAGATGTGCAGGACAGGTGGAAGAAAGCCTTTCCTGTGAGACAGATGCGCATGACAGATGCATAAAGCATATGGGAAGGGGCCTGTTCGTGGTGCATATGTTCAGGGCTTGTACGCGAGAACCCGGTGAGGCGCGAGGCCGGCGGGCGCACTTGCCTGCGAAGGCGGCGGCGGCGGCAGCTTCATCGGGGCTGGGCAGAGCCTCGGTACCCATATCCATGTGCCCAGATTCGGCCGCCATCACCGCCACAGCCGTGACCCGCCGCGTCTCGCGCTCCGCCTCGGAGTCCGCGTCCTCTTCCGAGTCCTCGTCTCTGCTTAACACCGGCTCCTCCGCCTCGCTTTCTGCTGCGGCCGCGGCCGCCGCCGCCACAGCGGCCGCGGCCGCCACCGCTGCCGCCTCGGCCAGGCCCAGCTGTTTTGCCGCCGAGTCCGAGTCCTCCATACGGACTCCACCGAGTCCGCCCGAAGGCGCCGTCCGGGACCGCCCGAAGCGCCAAGCGCCGAGCCCGAAGCAGGGCCCGAAGAGGCCGCCCGAGTTGGGCCGAGGCCGCCCGAAGCCACCGCCCGAGCAGCGACCGAAGAGGCAGGCTGACGCCCGCCGAGCGAAGCCGAAGCCGCCCGCCGAGGAGAGCCGATGTCCCGAGTGTAGAACCGACAAGTTCCGATGTCTCCCGAAGTGAAGAGTCGCGTCAGTACGAATAGTCCCGAAGTTTCACGAAGGCTTACGAGCGTTTCTTCCTCGCTACCTAGAAGGCTGGTCTGATTGTGGTCACCGGCCGATAGGGCTGGTCGGCTCTGGGCAGTTTCTCGCCGGCTTCCAACTAAGTTTGGGTTCGCCAACCTACCCTGTCGCCACGGGATTTTTCTAACCCCCTCTGTCGGCGGCGGAAGCCGAGCCCACACGAGGAGTACCCGAACTCCGCCGAATGTCTCCGAGCAGAGTTCTCCGGAGCCTCAGTGCCCGCCTCCTCCTGTCCGAAAGCTCCCGAGTGTTGCCGGACGGGAGAATCGGGCCTCGGCCGCGGTCGGACGCCCGTAGCACCGCGCGGCGGGAGGAGTGAAGATGGCGGGAGGGTGCGGCCAAGAGGCTGCTGGGATTGTTGCGGACCAGCGGCAAAATGGCGGCCGTTCGGCCAGGTGAGGCGGGCGGGGCTATACCGGCGTCGAAATAGTGTGGTCGTGCTGTCGCGATGAGAGGCCATTTGTACTGGATCAGCAACTCCTCTAATTGTCACATCGCAATTTCGGGCTCTGGTGGCTGAAGCCCACTAGTCCGGATTTCTGCGCTGGAGTTGGGGAGGAGCATGTCTTCCGGCTGGGCGTGGGCGTGAGGTACTTCGGGGATCCAGCGGCTTCTCTGAAGCTCGTCTCAGTATACCACTGACATAACTGAGGTACACGGTGGGGACCCCCCCCCGTATGCAACCATACCATACCATCCAGGGTACACTACCGTGGCACACCGACGACACAACCATAGCTCACCACAGCTGCCACACATGGCATTCCTAGGGCTCATCTGTGCATACCGGCTGCTCACCCCGTGCACACCCTTGACCCGTTTCTCACCATGCGCTACACCCTTGGCGCAACGGATTAGCATACCGAGGTTACCCACAACCATACCTCATTTTCAGCTCACCCCAGATGTAAAGATAAGTGAGAATTAAGTTTGTGGAAAGAAATAAAAGATGATTTAGACTACCTCAGACAACTAGAGCAGGCTTGTGCCAGAGAAACATGACTATCAAGTTCTGGCCACTTGGTGATCACGACATGGGATCCAATCACTCATTGACCAGAGTTCAAGGCAACAGATTACATTCTTTGGCTGGGTTTTTGTAGCTAATGTTATGTAGGGAAGAGGCGCTTATTAAGTAAGTTAGCTTTTTTCCTTAGACAAAATGGTTTTGGAACTTCAGGGTCTGTTATCTCTTTTTGCAACCATGGAGTATCTAGGGTAGGGGTCAACTGCTTTTCTTCTGGACTCAGCATATCTGGAGTCAGGGTCAGCTGCTTTTCTCTGCACTACCCAAATAGCTGGCTTCCTGGAACTTTGAGCTAAGTCTTGGGGCCTTGGCTTTTGGTGGGATTCTTTTACCAGGTATAGCATGACACACCTGCTCTTTGCCCTAGGATACACTGTGGCACACCTGCAGCTCACCACATATTTATTGATGGTATGTGTCTTTCTCTGGGACACAGTCAAGATATTTATAGCATACGTTCAGTTCACCCCAAGCACACCTATAGTACTCCCTGTCATTCATGGCATACCTGAGGTACACTTCTGGCACACCTGGTACATAACAGACACATCCACAGCATAATGTTAACTTACCCTGAGTGAATGCACACCTGTACACACACACACACACTCACACTCGTGCCCTTGTGGCTTACTTGAGTCATAGGCAGCCAGAAGCTGCTTATAGCCCACATTTTAGCATAGAGTCCCTGGCATAATGAGGAGGTCTGGGCACAGATGGGATATGAGCAGACAGGGCCAGGTGCCAGCAATGTGGGTCAGAAGCTAGTCATAGACAACTCAGACTTATGCGTGTCCATCCATCCATCCATTCTCCCAAGTGTTGCTTAATGGAACAAATTTCAGGAATGTGATTGTACTACATGTTCAGCCTAGGCTGCCCAGCACTTACTACCACACTGCTTTAATACCTACCACAAACTTGGAAGTGGTATTGTTGTGTGTATATAGTAAATATTACTATATAGTATATAGTAAATTGTTGTGTGTATATAGTATATGTTGTGTTTATAGTAAAAAGAAATTTTCAGGTGAGAAAGTGGACTTGGAATTAAGTCACATAAAAGGCCCAGTTTCCAGGCTGGGCTGTTGGCCCATTCCTCTAATCCAGCAGTTGAGAGGCTGAATCAGGAAGATGGCTGTGAGTTGTAGGGAAGAGAGTTCAGAGCTACATAGTGAAGCCCTGTCTCAAATTAAAAAAAAAAAAAAAAAAAAAAAAGTATAATCCCAACACTGGGAGACTGAGACTTAGGCAGGGGTACAAATTCAAGGCAACATGAGCTACATAGGAGACTTGTCCCAAAAGAAAGAAGACAAAGAGCTTCTACCAGAAGATGGTGTCTGTAGCCTTTGTCACACCAAGAAAACATTCTTTTACTTCCACAATAAACTTCTGCCTTGTATCTGTTGATAGCCACACAGTGATTACCAAAAATCATTAATAAGAAAAGTATTAAGTCCCAGAAGTCAGACAGCACTTCAGCCAAATGAACTCCTGTGGTATTTTAAAGGTATTTTAAAATGCTGTTTAAGCTGGACATAGTGGGGCATACCTTTAATTCTAGCACTCGGGAGGTAGAGGCAGGCAGATCTCCTAGTTAGAAGCCAGCCTGGTCTACATAGTGAGTTCCAGGAAAGCCAGGGCTACATACTGAGACACTGTCTTGGAAAATAAATGAGTAAGTAAATAAATAAATATTCTGCCATTTGAGGGTTGTATACAATATTTTTAAATTTTTTCATTATGTGTATGTGGAAGGGAGCACTTGAATGCAAGGTGCCCACAGAAGCCAGAAGAAGGCATTAGATTTCCTGCAGCCGAAGTTAAAGACATTTGTGACTGCCTGATGTGGGTATTGGGAACCAAACTTGGGTCTTCCACAAGAGCAGTATGTCCTTTTACCAGCCCCCTTCCTATACAGTGCTTTTTCCTAAGTCTCACAATTTTGATCTTTAACAAATATCTGCTGGGCAGTGGTGGCACACACCTTTCATTCCAGCACTACTCAGAAGGCAGAGGCAGTTAGATGAGTTCAAGGCCAGCCTGGTCTACAGAGTTGAATGCCAGGACAGGCCCGAAAGCTACACAGAGAAACCCCGTCTCGAAAAACAAAACAAAACAAAAAGCAATAAACATCCAGCAGATACAATTTAAATGTCTTTGCCACCTTTTGAGGGTGTGTGGCAGTGCCAGGGATTGGATCCAGTACTTGCATGTTACACAAGTGCCTTTTACATACATTCCAATCCTGATACTAGGTGTTATAATCCTGATACTAGGTGTTATAAGGATCCAAAGGGAGCCTGGAGGAAGAGCTCAACTGTTAAGAGCACCGGTTGGTTGCTCTTCCAGTGGACTCAAGTTTGATTCCCAGTACCCACATGCGTAACTCTACTCCCAGGATATCTGACACCCTCTTCTGGCCTCTGCTGGCACTTCATACATGAAGTCCACAGATATACATACAGGCAAAACACACATACATGTAAAACTAAAGGGGGAAACTTTAAATACTAAAAAAGGATTCAAAGGAAAGAAAACCCCCAATTAATGTAAAACCAACCCAAATAATGACAGCTATCTAGGTAGCCTAGTTTAGCTGGGGCCTGGAAAAGAACAGATCGGGTTTACTAGAGCACCCTGTGGAAACATGATACCTCTCCAGTCACACTCACTTGGCTTCCTGCTCCCACACGTGTGCCTGCTAGGAGACTGTCCAAAGGCTGTTACTAATGTTCTGTGTTTACCAGTTTATGACTTGCTCATGCAAGAGTGCACATCTCCAGGATAGGCAGCTTCAAGCTGGCCTTCGAAGTCAAGTGACCCACAGAATCTCACCAAGGCACCACTTCCTTTTCTGCTGCAACACAGGGGACACAGGACAGAGCAGAAGAAGTGCACAGCTTGGGTTAAAGTGCTGCTCAGAAGGCAGCCTCTTTTATGGGAGGCTTTGTCCAAATTCGAAGTTTTTATGGTGTGTGTATACATGTAGAGACGTGCACCGTGTAAGTGTGCAGCTGGTGTGAACCTCCAGACAGACAGCCTGACCCAGGTCACATTCCATCTAGGGATGGGCCAGGCAGATTTTCAAGTACAAAACTTACGATGCACAGACACAGGGGAGGCTCCGTTACACCCGAGAGCTGACTCTTACAAGATGAGGGAGAATAACACCTGGCTGGAATGTGAGATGTTCTAAGAGGCTGCATAGCTGCCTCCCCGAACACACAGTTATTTTGGAGAAGTGAATAAAATTCCAACAGAAAGCAGTGCCCTAGGAGGGATGGATGTAGAGATGATACAAGAACCTAGCTGTGGCCATTGTTCACTTCCATTTATAAGCATGAAATCGGAGAACTAAATGACTGTCATGTTGCTGTTGATGTCTTACTGGCAATCCTTTGTCTTCCAGGGAGAGGCTCCTTCAAGGTGGTATCCTGCTGCTGTTCCCCAAGGCCTTGACCAAGCATTGCCCCTTTAGGGCAGGCACTACCATGCTGATTAGATGGCCTGGCACACTCAGCTACTTGCCTTTTTGTGCCTTTCATGCCCTCCACCCCCCATTCTTTCTTAAATTCTGACTAGTGATTTGTAAGAGAAGTGTTCCCTGGTGTGCTGGTTCTGTTACCCACCAGCTCAGCCCTGTTCCCTTCACAGGGCTTGTATGTTATGGGAATGGCCACTTGCCTGCCACCAACCAAATCAACGTGACAGGAGACAAACACCCCTTACTTTGAATGGCCAAGTAATACAGTTTTTCTAAAGAAAATGAAAAGGATCCTCTCTGTAACTCACAACTTGAATCAGGATGACAAACTCCCTCTGTTCTGCCTGCATCAGCTGAGGACTGGGGTGCTTAGGCCATGCCCTGCCAGGGTGGGAGGGATCCAGCATCATTCTTGTGACCCCTAGGTGCCCTCAGGTGAGCGCTCCAGGAGCCCTTGTAGCAGTAGAGGCCCTAGGTAGGCAGGAGCCAATGGCTGGGTTCCATGGCCATCTGTAAGTACTCTGTTGGAATTTACCCAGACTTGCTGATTTATGGCTATGGGTGGCAGGTAGGCCCCTTTGCTTGGCCACTGAGTGGGTGTACCCCATTGGTGAGTTTGAGGACCCTTGACTTCTTGCCAGATCTCGTCAGTCCCTCTTCAGATGCTGTTTCACCTCAGTGGGCTGTATTATGCTCTGTACTTCCTAGCTACATTCCTGATGATTGCATATAAAAGTAAGTTATGAGTGCCAGGCCTGTCAAAGGAATTGTGGGCCTAATGTGCTGATAATATGCTGATCTGAGTTTTGGCTGTGTGTGTGTTCCCTAGGTCAGGTTTTCAGCTATCCTTATAACTGTCTGGTCCTGGATCTGGTTCTCTTGCTTCTGATGGGGATTCTCGAAGTAGCTCGGCTATACTTAGGTGAGTTGGCTATGAAAGCATAAAGTTCTTGTGGCCCCATAGGTATTCTTTCAAACTTTCTAAACCTTTAAATATTAATCGTTTTATTTATAGTGTGGGTTTTGGAGACATCTCCATTCAGGCAGCTTTACCAGGTGCTTTGCGGCATCACCTTATAGAGTCATTAAGAATTATGCATTTGTTCAGAAGCTTTGCTCCAAGGATAACTGACATTGGTGACAGCCTCCTGTCTGAACAGATATGTGTGTTATAGCTATGCTCAGCCTAAAGCTAGAGCTCCAGACTGCTTCCCTAAGCACCTCTCATCCCTACTGGTTTCAGCAGTCAGGAGAAAGTCTGGTAGAGAGGGGGTCTGGAGTGTGTGCCAGGACAGGGAACCCTGCCATCCCAAGCCTACTCAGTGTCACATCAGTTATCCTTGAGGCTACTCTTAGCCGGTTGCTTCTTTTTATTTATTAATTTATTTACTTAGACCATCTTATGTAACTAATGCTGGTCTTGAACTCCTGATCCTTCTATCTCTTCCTCCTGAGTATTGAAATTTTAGGCATGTCCAGTTTTTATGTATTGGTAGGATCAAACCCAGGACTCAAACATGCTAGGCAAGCACTGTATTCTCACCCCTTCCTTTTTCTCTAAGTCACACAGTTCATTTAGATCAGAGTTAAGGTCAGAGCAGGTAGGTTCTTGTAATAGACAAGGAGTCCAAAAGTAAAACATGGAAGTCTTCCTCCCAGAACTAGCTGCAGTGATGAGCACATGCCTAGATTTCTGTCTCTGCCCCTGTTCTTTCCTATACTCGGTCACAGGCATGTGTAAATAAGGCACCTCATGTGGGTATATCAGATTTGGTACCTCCCCTCTCCCTCTGCTGGGAGTAACAAGTATCATCTTAGACAGAGACCCAGTGTCTGCTGCCATGGATTGTGCTAGAGCTTCACAGCTTTCTCAGTAGGCAGTGTTGCCTATGGGGTGCAGAGATGGTTGCTGCATCTATGAGGAGTTTACAGTTTCTGTCAGCATTGGCCCTCTCCAAGCACTTGGCACTCAGCAGGCCCTTATGTACCCCCCATCCACTAAAGTCGGCATAATCAGCCGCCCAGGGTTAGAGTCAGTGGACCTTCAGACTCCCCCAGCAGCTGGGGTCAGCAGACCCTTGGGTACCTCTGGCAGCTGGCCAGCTATTGGCAGCTCCAAGTTGGCATTTTCCATGACTGACCCATTTGTTTGTAATGTTTTTCATAAGTATTCATGAAATTTTCCAGAGCCAGCCTGCCTTAACCCAGAGTAACATATTTTTAGCTATTTTCAACAAAATCCTTTTGATCCCACTTGGATTTGGAAAAAGGTGGCAAATGCCCACAGTTTTAAAGCCACACTGTTTGTGTCTCAGCTGACATTTACCTGTTGGTACTCTCTGACATGGAGTGGCCCTAGTGGGCGGTTGGGGGGATGTCCTGTAGCCCCTGCCTCACTCTCATGTTTGCTCTCTTTTCCAGGCACAAAAGGCAACCTGACGGAGGCTGAAGGGCCACTGGCTGCTAGCCTGGCATTCACGGCAGTCAGTGGCCTCCTTTCTGTTCACTTCCTGCTCTGGCAGACCCTGGTACTGTGGATGGACTCAGTCCTCAGCACCATTCTCCTGGTGTTGCACGGGCTGGAGGCTGGCTTGCAGGTGGTGGTCATTGCTGACTTCATCAGGTAGACAGACCAGGATAAGCCTACACAGCAGTGCTCCTCAGCCTCCAGCCAACTCCTTTGCTCCCAGACACAAAGGGTACCTTTTTTATGGATTGTCTATAGATGGATTTAGATGGCTCATAAATCTTTTTTAGTGAGGTGGGTACAGAAACCAGGGAGGGAAAACTGTTAGGAACCTAGATGTTGAAGATAGCCGTCATGGAGAGATGTCCACTCATGTCATGTGGCTGGGGTCCTGACTGCAGCAGCAGGACCACCAATAATCACCAGGCCAGTGGAAGGCAAAACCTTTCAGGAAGTCAGTAGCTGGGGGCAGCCCAGCAGCTCCACCCTGTCTCAGCCCCAGAAACGCAGCACTCTGGCAGGAGGACTTGGCTGTGCTGGTGTGTCACCATGTGTTTTCTCACACAGGAATCACTGACTTCCATGCTTCCCACACTGCCCTGGTTCTTGTTCTCAGAACCTGTACTCTATTCCCAGGCCTTAGTCCAAGCCTGGAATCCCTCTGGAGCTTCAGGGTGGCAGGCCTTGTGTTCCAGTGTCCCCCCAGTTTGGCTCCCCATAAGGCCAGACCTGAATAAAACTGATTTCCAAAAGGAAACAAAAGCAAATGTATGCCGAGTGTGGTGTGGTGGCACACAAACACCTTTAATTCCAGCACCCAGGAGGCAAAGGCAAGCAAATCTTTGTAAGTTCAAAGCCAGTCTACATAGTAAATTGTAGGTCAGCCAGGCTTACATAGTGGGACCTTGTCTTTAAAAAAAAAAAAAAAAAAAAAGTAGGCTGGCTGTAGTGGTACACACTGGTAGGATTTGCTGAAAGAGGCAGAAACAGGAGGATCATGAGTTCAGTTCGAGGCCAGCCTAGGCTACACATTTTATTAAAAGGAGAAAAAAGTAGGGGGGCTGGAGAGATGGCTCAGCAGTTAAGAGCACTGGCTGCTTTCCCAGAGGACCCAGGTGCAGGTCCCTGCAGCTACACGGCAGCTCACATCTATCTATACCTCCAGTTCCAGTGGATCTGACATCCTTACACAGACATGCATGCAGGCAAGACACCAATGCACATAAAATAAAAATAAATTATTTTTTTAAAGTAAACAGGTCAGAGATCGGTGTATTGTGATGTTCACCTCAGGTGTTGGGGGGGAGAGAGGAACTATGGGGGGCAGACAGAAAGGAAGAACAGCTTTCTAGGAGTCTGTCACAGTCATAGTCCACTAAACTGTGGCTTTTTTCAAGTGCCAAGTGAGTTCCATCTCATCTCTTTTCTGTTCCTAGCCCATGTTTTCCTAAAAAGTATATAAGCAGGCTTAAAAAAAAAAACAGGTTCTTTCATTTTTTTCTGTTATGTTTTTCTATTTGTGATACTATGTTCAAATATCTAGTCTCTCTTTAAAAAAATAAATTATTATGCTGTCATGATTTTGTCTTAATTAAGCTACCTAATTTCCCCCAGGGTCCAGCATAGAGGAGCCCATCCTGATGCTGCTTCTCAACCCTGTCCTGGGACTTGCCCTGTAGCCTCCACTGTCTTCTCTCTACCCCAGTAACTATCTGGGGGGAAGGGGGAAGCTCAGCCACTCCCTGCAGATCAAGTCAGGACCTCTGTTGGGAAGGGAGCTTGTCACTTTTTCACACATAGTAAGCCAGTTTCAAGCCTTTTAACACCTCTACTCTTACTGGCCACATGGAGGTAGTATTTCAGGTGGACACCAGCTTAGGCCGCCTCACAACAAAGTGCTTTCGCACTGGTAGCAGCACTAGGGAGCCCCACCTGAGCTGCATTACATTCCCCACACTTTACCCATTCCCAGCTCTGCCCAGGAATGTCAAGGCCAACACATGCACCTACCCCTCCCTTTACACAGCTGAGCACTTGACCTCTGCTTGCTGTGCCAGGGCAAGGTCACAGGCAGAGCAAGATTGGGCCAGTTCTATGAGATCAGCATAAGAGCTGAGGACCAGGAAGCCTCTCTGGTGTTGGTCAGGAGCCGGGTCTGGAGGACCCAGCTTACTTGTGGTGTCCCAGAGTGTGTCAGGTGGATCAGACAGTGCTGGGGCCCTATGGGGCAGAGCACTCAGTGCCCTAGGAAGTGCTTCCTGCCTGCCCAGGACAAACATGCCAGGGCCCTGCCTTCTGGGACTGTAGCCTGGGACCCTGACTTCCTGGCAGCACCCATTTCCTCTGTCCCAACTCTGGGAACAATAGCCGGGTCCTTAGGGTCCCTTGTTCACATAAGGGCAGTGCCCTTGGCTAGCAGCCCATAACTCTATTTTAATTTCCTCTCAGCCAGCTAGTTGGCCATTCTAAATTCACCCAACCCTGGCCTGAGCTGTCAGCAGAAGGGGCAGAGTATTCTGGGGGTCAACATGGTGGGGACAGGTACCCTCTCCATAAATAGCCTATCCCTCAGGGGATGCTCAAGCTGGACAGGGACGTTAGAAGCTTTGTATGTGAAGAATGGTCCCCACCCAATATCCTTGAACCCAGACCCCAGATTGAAGCACTAAAGAGCTCTGCCCCAGTGCAACTTGGGGGTGGAGGGCACCTGATAGGTGCTTGGTTGAGAGCTCGGCATCCCTGCAACCCTCATAGGCTTCTTCCAGTACTGCTCCTGCAGGCCGGTCCAGATCTCCACCTGCTACTGCAGCTTAGCCTGTAAGAGCAGCTGGGGCCGCGCCCTGCACTTCAGGGCCAGCTGCGAAGGGGCCCCAGGTGCTTTGGGGACCGCTGGGAGGACAGATGGAGGCGAGGGAGGAGGAACTGTGCTGTGCGGGGGTGGGGGGGTGGGAGGTGGGGGAGTGGTGCCCCAGGCCCGCCCCCTTCCTTCAGCCTCCCTGGTGCCCACTCCCGGGTGACTCGGTAACCTGTCGCTCAGGTTCCTCCTCTCACAGCCCCGCCCCGGCCTATCCGGTCCAGCAGAGGTCCCGCCTGTCCGGGGAGAGGGAGCTCCACAGCCGCTGAGGCTCTGACAGACGGCCAGGCGGACAAACTGACCTAGGGGACTAGCCAAGCGCAGTCGCTGGCTGCCGGAGAGCAGGTGAGCGCTTCAGCCAGGGAGTTTGCCAATCTGGGCCTCAGTTTCCCAGAGTAGCCATGGGATGCAGATCTCTGGCCTGAGACTCTGGGTCAGACGCTGGGTTTGGAGGGCAACCAGCACCGCTGAGTGTGAGATTTGGGATGATGTAGATCATGGGACTCTGGAGACAACTAAGCCGGAGTTTGGGGGCTGCGGGTGGGGCGTGGGGCGTAGGAACTTGGGAGAGAGGCCTGGCCTGAGCTTTCCTTGGACTTTTAGCCCAAGAACCGCTCAGCTGAGGGCCCCGTCGGTCCAGCGGGCGGCGGTCAGTGTTCAGTGATATTTTTAAGCCAGTGGTGTGTGTGACTCACTCGCCCCAGTCCCGGCCCCCTCCCAGCCCTGGGGCGGACGAGGGGAACCTGGCAGTTGACAAGAGAGGTTGTGAGGAAGGGAGGGCTGTCATTCCATGCAGCAGGCTGGACCTCCTTCAGGGTCTGACTCTAACTACCATGGGCATACCACCCAATGCCTGAAGGTTGGCGTTTCCTGCCCGTCTGAGCCCAAAAGAAACCCAGAGCCAGGGAAACATCAGGCTGGGTCAGTCTCTAGGTCAAAGCTGGGGTGTGGAGGAACCGGTAGAAGCTGGAAGTAGATCTATAGTTGAGGGAGATCAGCTAATGGAAGGGCCTACTGACATCCACAGCTTAGTTGTCCGAGGTCCCTAGGACTGACAAGTTTGTGCTACTACATGAAGGTAGGCATGTCTGAACTGTCTCCCTGTGCAGCCTTCCTTAGCTGTTGAGGGAGGCAGGACACTGCAGGAGCCCCTCCCACCCTAGACTATGCGGCCCTACCTGTACATAGACCTCTACTAGACCTGTCTGTTATCCAGGGCTGGTTAGCCCATCATGCCCACCCAGCCTGCCTGGGTCTCTTCAGGTGAACCCATCCCTCTCACCAATAGCTTTCCAGCTCATCTCAGCCTCTATTGCTCCCACAGCATGATCCCTGAACTTTGCTCCCAGAGTAGGACCTAGCCAGGACCCAAGGGACTCCCCCATCCCATCCCAGGGCCACACCCAGCTCCCACGAGGACAGCTAAGAGCCCAGGTGATTAAGCTGACCCCTCCCAGGGTCACTCAGCATGTAGAGCTGGAATTTGAACTTGGAGCCAGTTCTTCCGCCCTCCTTGTCCTGCCAGGGCCTCCTCCCCTTCCACTACCAAACCTACCAAACACTAGCATGCTGGGCCTCCCTTCAACCCGGAAAATGGCTACAGTAAATCACCTACTGAGCCTGGGTGTTCCACCAGCAATGGATTCTATAGATTCCTGCTCCTTACCCCCCTTCAGCTGTAGGAGCCTCCTGGGAGTGAGCCTTTTGCAGGCTAGAGGTAGCCCCAGTGTCATCCCTCCTACCTAGGCCTAAGGTCCTGGCCTAGATTTCCCCAAGGGCAGGGCTGCATGTCCAAGCCTGTTCAGAGTCTGTGTGCCTTCAGGCCTGGGTCTCTAGCAGTTTGTTTTGCCCTGGTGTGTGTATTCCTGGCCCCACGTGCCTGGCGCCCTTGGCTGAGCTAGCCAGGAATCACATTAAGCAAACACCAGGACTCACCTACTGAGGTCATGAGCATTCCGGACATTCTCCATGGATAGGTGGACCTAAAAATCTGGCCCAGCCTCTTCTCACAAGCCAGAACCTGGGGTGAAGGGTAGGAGTGCAGTAGGAGAGCTGGTCAAGGTAATAGCTAAGGCCTTACCTCCTGGGAGCCCACCCCTCAAGACCTGCTCAAACCAGAAAGCACTAGAATATTACAGGCCTATGCCTGAACTTTCATACCAGCACCCTGGCTTGTGGCCTTACCCTAGCATACTCAAATGCTAAAGTTAGGAGAAATGGTGGTCTTATTAATAACATCAGCCAGAGGTAGATGGTATGTAGACCCAAGACCTCAGGGAGAGCTGGCTACAGAGCCCCAGACGGACAGCCAGAAATGCTGTCTACCTGTCTCTCCAGGGCCACGAATGCAGCCTATCACTGAAGGTTTCTCCAGCCCTCATTTGATGTCAGGCTGGCCCAGGTCACCAGCTTCTGTAATAGTCAGAGAAGGGTGCAGGTCTAGGCTGTAAGGAAAGTTTGACCACATTGATGGCCATGCCTCAATTTCTCTAAAATGTAGCTCAGGGAGGTCATGGCTGGGAAGCCTATTTGTGGAGGGGCCTTGCATATGGTCACCTGTGTTTGTACTGAGCCAAACACCCCCAAAACCTCTGCCCCATAACCACCCACCCTTTACAGGATCTCCCAAGAGGGAGCTAAGAGTTGGACTCCTTGCTGGATGTAGAGGAGCCGGCCCCTCTGTGGGCATGTCCATATGTACATGTAGAGATACCATGGAGTGAAGCTGGGGGTAGGAAAGGAGTATTGGGGTCCCTCTAAACTCTGTGCCCCCCTAGATCTCCAGCCTTACCCTCTGCTGCTGACTTGTCTCACTGCCTCAGGGTTTTTGAGGGAGCTGTCCTCTCTCCTCAGAGTACTCTTTACCCAGTCCCTCCTTCAAAGCCTCCCTGACAACTTCTAGGAGCATCCCTGCAGAGAAGCAAAGGTCAGAGGCCAGATGGGGACTCCATTGCCACCAGCAACAGCATGGGACTGACCACACACTAAGGTTCTAGGCCCTGGACCAGGAATAAGAGAGGAGCCCAAGGCATAGCCTGGCCAGGAGAATGTGTCAGCTGGGCTCCTCTGTCCTTAGGTGGAAACCAGGCACTGGGCCCTAGACTCCAGCCAGACTGAGGTCTGTCCTACTTGACGCTGGCCACCACTGGGGACAGCATGAGCCAATCAGGGTCCATGAGCTGCTGCCCAGGAGCTGCCAAGTAAGTGCTGTCCCTCCCATCAAGTCCCACCCCCCCCACACACACACACATACACACAGAGAGGTTGGTGACTTGAGCCTTGCTCTCACCTGCCTCTCCCCCTCCAGTGGCAGCCTGGGCCGGTCTGACGGTGTGCCCAAGATGAGCGCAAAGGACTTGTTTGGTGAGTGAAGTTTTAAGAATGGTATAGACTTAAGGAAGATGAATGGGACCATGGTGATTTCATCCCTGCTTGCCCCAAGGCCAAGCTCTAGCCTGGCATAGTTCAAAGTGCCCAGAGGAGGCCTTTGGACCCTAATCCATTGAGAACTTTGGATGTCTATCTGCAAAGCTCCCTGGCCACTGACTGCTCTCTGTTATGCTGTAAGGGGAGAGGCCTTTACGAATAATTCAAGGAGCATTAATATTGATTCTTCTGTGCAGCCCTGCAACCTGATCGAGTAGGTGGGGTCAGATGGGACCCAGCTGCCAGGTATCTGCTCCAGGGGACCAGGCTCCTTCTGCCCAGCCATACCCCTTCCAGCCATGCCCCTCCTTTGTGCCTCTGGAGGCTGGGGGCTAGATGCTAGAAGCTGGAGGCCTGGAAAGCAAGAGTTCCAGAGAATGGGCATATTTCTGCTGTAGTAGCTTGAAGGATAGGAAAGCCCTGGCCTGGTCTCCTTCCCTAGGGAAGTGGGCAGCCTCCATTGTGTAAGCTTGAGTTTCCTGCTCCTACCCAAACAAACCCTCAGTGAGGGGCTGCCCGCCCTCAACACACTCTGAATAAGACTCTATCTTCTGGAGCCACAGGTCGCCAGTGGGGGCGGTCATAGGACCAAGCCAGAGGGCCTCCTCGTGGTTCCCTCTTGTCTCCACAGGAGCTTCCTTGCTACTTTCCAGCCTGCCGTCCTCCCTAATGGCTGTGAGGGGTTCAGAGAGCAGAACCCTAATCTCAATTCTCCTCTCCTCTGTGGCCCCTGGGGTTCAAGTCCCACTAGACTGGGTTTTACTCTTTGGAGTGCATGACATCTATCTCTCCATCCAGAGCAGAGGAAGAAGTACTCCAACTCCAACATCATCATGCATGAGACATCACAGTACCATGTCCAGGTGAGGACCAGGAAACTCGTCCCTCTTCCCTTTGTTCCAGGGACAGGTAGAGAAGCTGAGGCTCGGGAAGAAGTGGGAAGGGAGAGCAAAGGACTGCCCCATGCTGGTCTTGGACACAGCGACAGTGGGGAAACAGCTCTCCTCAAGGCTTAAGGAGTTCACAGTGGGGCCTACGTGGAGCCTGCGCTGGAAGATGGTGCCCATGGCCCACACCACCCATGTCACTGTGTAGCTCAGAAAAGACCATGGAAGGAAGTTGTCATCTTGGCCCTAAAACAAGGAACTGCACTGGGAGGAACATGTTGGAACAAAGACACCCTTTATTGAGAGCTACAGGGAGCTTGGATGGCACTGCTGAGTCTAGACATAACCTGTGCCCTTTGACCAGCTGCCAGAGTGGCCCTTCTCCTAGCCACTTTTAATTTGCACTGAGAATTCAAAACCTTTCTTTTAAAATATCCTAGCCATAGACTTAGCTGAGCTTGTAAGACAATGTTTAAGAATGATAGACAAGTACAAGGAGGATCCCCTGAGTAGCCAGCACTGGCAGTGGGTCCCCTGTGTTGCCGACTCTCTCCTGTCTCCTCACCACACGAGACTCAAACCCCAGAAATGAGGCAAGTTGCTATCCTCAGAACCTTGCCTCCTTGTCTGTAGAATGGACCATAAGAACCATCAGGAATCCCCATGGCTCCTCAATCCTACTATCTTGGGTGGTCAAGGTTCTGATCACCCAAATGGACCAATGGGTCATGACATGGTGATCACAGCAACTCAGGTTCCAAGGACAGGGCATGGAGGCACAGATGGGTCACCTCTGACCTCTTCCTTTGCAGACAGTGTACCGCCCTTCTCAGAAGTGGAACTTTGCCCTCCTTAGTGAGGAACTGCCTGGGGCATCCAGCCTGGCTCCTGGACTTTGGTCCATACTGCTTAACTCTGCCCAGCTGTTGTAGGGTCCTTTCCTGCCTGCTCAGAGACCAGTGGAGCAGGGCTATCACTAAGGTGTTTCTGCCCCCTTTCTGATGAAAAGACTGAGACCCAGACAGAGAGAGAGACAAGAGAGAAGGGGGGAAGAAGACTGAGAAACAGTAGGGGACACTCAGGTTGTGCTTGCTTTTGACTTTTTACACCATAAATTAAAGTGAGGTGCAACTCTGTTGCTATCATAGTAGAACATAGGGCAGTTCCCAAACTCGGATGTAAGTAGCAAATGCTGGTCCATCTAGCATCCCCAACACTTACTTGTCTTTTTGAGACTATTGTCCTATACGGGAGATACTGCAGTTTGTGGCCACCTTTGTTTCTTGCCTCATGAGCTTATTTTAAGAAAACCATGTACAGAGGACGCTAGGACTTTCCAATCATCTCTTCCACAGCCCAATTCAGGCTTTCCTCTTCAGTTATACTGGGGTTCCCTGGCTTTATAGAAGTATTTTGTGCATATGGCTAGCATGTAGATTAGAAATAACTTCTTCTATGCTGGGCATAGTGGCACATGCCTTTAATCTCAGCCTTTGGGAGGCAGAGGCAGTGGGATTGCTGTGAGTTCAAGACCAGCCTGATTTACACAGAGAGTTCCAGAACAGCCAGGCTTACATAGAGAGACCCTGTCTCAAAAAATGAAACAAAAAAACTTCCTGTATTAGGTAATTTGTTAGCTAATGTGTATCATTGTCTTTTGATGGGTAGACATATTTGATTTGGGAGACATCTAGTCATATGCCCATTTTTCTTTTCTGGTTATTTTTTAACCTCCAAGAAGTTGTTGCTTAACAATGAAGAAAATTTCCTGTGTTTTCATGGTAGGGTGGCCTTTTGCATCTAGGCTCATGATCAGATTTATTTTAATTTTTGAGACCCTGTCTCAATAAATAGGTACATTGCTAGCATTTGATTGGCATTGAGTCAAATCTATTTTCAGTTTAGGGAGAATTGCCATCTTTTGTTTGTTTGTTTTTGTTTTTTGAGATATGATTTCTCTGTGTAGCCCTGGCTAAGGACTAGGCTGGCCTCGAAGACACAGAGGTCTGCCTGTCTCTGCCTCCCAAGTGCTGGGATGAGCCACCCATGAGCCACCACCACCCTGAGTTCCCATCCACAAACATGGGATGTTTCTCCATTTTTGTTTGTTTGTTTTGTTTTGTTTGTTTTTTGAGACAGGGTTTCTCTGTATTGCTTTGGAGCCTGTCCTGGAACTAGCACTGTAAACCAGGCTGGCCTTGAACTCACAGAGATCCACCTGCTTCTGTCTCCTGAGTGCTGAGATTAAAGGCATGCACTACCAATGCCTGGCTTGTTTCTCCATTTATTAAGGTATCTTTAATTTTTTTTTTTTTCATTTTTTCAAGACAGGATTTCTCTGTGTAACAGCCCTGGCTGTCCTGAAACTCACTCTGTAGACCAGGCTGGTCTTGATCTCAGAGATCTGCCTGCTTCTGCCTCTGAGTATTAGGATTAAAGGAGTGTTCCATATTTGTTTTGTTTTGTTTTTTAACAATGTTTTATGGCTTTCATTGTGGATGTCATATTTGTTTTTAAATTATTTTTGGTTTACAAATGGTATTGTGAGAGGCTTCCCCAGTGCAATGGTTCACCACATAAATTGTCCTGTGGGGTTTTATTGTTGTTTTGGTTTGGTTTGGAACAGGGTTTCACTATATAGCCCTGATTGATCTGGAGCTTGTTATTCAGACCATGGTGGTTTTTTATAGAGATCCACCTTGCTCAGCTCTCCTAGTGCTGGGTTAGAAGGCATGTGCCACCACATCTGGCACAAGTGGTATTATTTATTTTGTTTTGTTTTTAACTTTTTTGTTGTTTTAATTTTTTATATTTTTTTATGAGTGTTTTGCCTGTGTTTGTATATGACACCCATTGGAGGGTGTCAAATTCCCTAGGACTGTAGTTTCAGACAGTTGTGAGCTGCCCTGGGTGCTGGGAACTGAACCAGGGTCCTCTGCAAGAACAAACAGTACCCTCAATAACTGAGCAATCGCGCCAGCCTCTTTTATATTTTGAAATTATAATGTAATTACATCATTTCCCCCTTCCCCTTCCTCCAAACTTTCTCATATACCCCTTCTAGCTCTCTTTCAAATTCAGGACTTTTTTTCACATGTATATGCATATATATACCTAAATATAAGACCTGCTCAGTCTGTACAATGTTACTTGTATGTAGGATTTCAGTGTTGGATAGCCAGTTGGTTGTTCTTCCCTGAGGAAGGCTATTTCTCCTATTCTCAGCTTTCCTCAGTTGCCTGCAGTTCTTTGTGTAGGATTGAGGTTGGTCTCATGGGCTCCCCCCATCTACTTTAGCATGTTACTCTTGTCATCCTTGTTTAGCTCATGCTTGGGCAGTCATGTTGGTGAGACTTTAGGAGTATAGCTTCTGACATTCCTAGGAAACAAGAGCAAACTCCTTGATCTTCCAGCTCTTATTCAATCTTTCTACCCCTTCTTCTGCAATGGTCCCTGAGCTTTAGATGTGGGGGTTATTCTGTAGATGTGTCACTGGACCGAGCGCCACAGCTCTGCATTTTGATTGGTTGTGGTTTTCCGTAATGGTCTCCTTTTGTTGCAAAGAGAATTTTCCTCATTGTAGGGCGAGGAGTACACTTATCTGTGGGTATAAGGACAAATATTTAGAATGTAATAAAGGATTATGCTGATGTAATATAAAGTGGCAGCTGTAGTTTCTCCTCCAAGATCCATGACTTTACTAGTCCTAGGTAAATGGTTAGGTTTTCACTACCCATGATTTTCCTCATGCTAATAGGATCTTTTAAGTCTGAGTAGAGAACTTTGGTGGCCACCAAGGAATGTACACTTCACATGGAAAATTTGTCTTCCAATTATCTGCTGCTTATATAAAGAATGGAATTTTAGTATGGTTGTCAAAATGTACTGACTTTGATGAATTTAGAGATTCCCTTGTAGACAAGACTTTCTTCTTCCTTCCTTCCTTCCTCCTTCCCTCCCTCCCTTTCTTTTTGTTGTTTTTACTTTTCAAGACAGGGTTTCTCTGTGTAACAGTCCTAGCTGTTTTGGAATTCACTCTGTCGACCAAGCTGGCTTCCAACTCAGAGGTTTTCCTGCCTCCCAAGGGCTGGGATTAACAACATGCATCACACACATGTAAAATTAATGTTTCCATTCCCAACCACCTGTTCCCAAATACCCAGCAGCCACTTCCCAAATTACCACACAGAGGCTTATGTTAATTACAAATGCTGGGCTGATAGCTCAGGCTTGTTACTAGCTAACTCTTACATTTAAATTAACCCATTTCTACTAATCTATGTATTGCCAGGTGGCTTGTGGCTTTACCTGTCCTCTGGCATGTATTGCTTCCTGAGCAGCTGGCTGGCATCTCCTCTCACTCCACCCTCAGTTTGGCTTTCCCACTTAACTTCCTGCTCAGCTACTGGCCTGTCAGCATTTTATTAACCAATGAGAATAATACATATTCACAGTGTAGGAAAGGGATTGCTCCACAGCACACAGATTTTTAGAAAGCCAGCTGTGGTAGCACATGCCTTTAATCCCAGCACTCAGAGGCAGAGGCAGACGGATCTCTTTGAGGTCGAGGCCAGTCTCTCCTACAGAGCTAGTTCCAGAACAGCCAAGGCTACACTGAGAAATTCTGTCTTGAGAAAAACAAATAAGTCAAAAAATATATTAGTGAATAAATGTATTATTAAATGAATGAAAGCCCATTCTTTATTTCTTATTTTTGTGTCATTTATTTTTCTTGTCTCCATTCTCTGGTTAAGACAACCAGCACAATGCTGAATGAAATAAGAGAATACATGTCCCCTGCCTTACATCCAATTAAAGAAAAATTATTCCATAGTTTATCTATCATATACTTTTGGAGACATTCCCTTTATCACAAATGGGATTCTGTCAAATGTTTTTTCTGAAGCTATTTTGATTTGTTTACTACTGGTAATGTAAAGAACCACACTCATTTTTTTTTTAATGCTGAATAAACT